GGACCGCGTAGAAAACTAGCGAACTATACATGGTATCCAAAGGGTGTTATCAATAACTCATACGAGTCTTTAAACCTAAAATTATTGCTTATTTCTAAGAGTTAGACATTATTTAGAAGTAAAAAGAGATGTTTAACTCCAGGGTTTCTTTTCTTCACTCTGTCTTTCTCTGTTCAAAAAGTTAATCAATATTACTAAATTTTCAACGAGTATCTATCTACTAAAATATTATATTTAAGAATACATCTTTTGATAAACTTCAAATCTCACTGTATATAGACGAATATTAAAAAAGTTTGATATATTATAAATAAATAATCATATAGTCAACGAAGATACTTTTTAAACAAAATAAAGTTTGTGACGTAATTCTGTGACTTAGTTGTTTAGTGAAACCAAAATGACATTTTCTTCGACGGCTGGTTAAAAAAATAGACAACAACAGATTTTTGATTTCTTTTTTTTTCTTCTTAGCTTAGTTCTATGAGTTTGAAAGTTTATGATATAGTGAAATAGAAAACAAAACAAAACAGAAACCTTTTTGCTTATTATAATAAGGTATAAAATATTCTTGAATATAGACTATGTGATCACATACTGACTGTTTGAAGTTGTATTATACGTGTATAAGTCCTTTTTTATTATAACTTACTTATTTGGTTATATCTGGCGGTACAATAGAGGATGGAGGGAACTCGTCACTGGATTTAGTTTCAACCAACAGGAAGTGATGGTATCCCCAATGAGACTCAAACCCAGTCACTTTAAACATGGAAGCCTCATCCATTAGACCACAAGTGCCACCACTTCTGCAACAGGTATGATTTCAAGCCATTTATTAATTTCAAATTTGATCACGAATTGACATCATTAAGAGAACCATCGGAAACAATTAGGGAGTTCTGGAGAGCTATTTCGTCCTAGTTTCAGACTCATCAGTAGTAAGCACATTCCGATGGGACTTGAACTCAGGAACTTCCAGTTTCAAAACAGATTCTTAGACCATTTAGCCACTGGGACCCAAACTTAATGGTTAGTCCATGTATTCTGACTTCTACCAATTCGCAATTTTAGTGCGACTACCAACTTGAAACTTGAAACAAATCAGTTCTCTACAAAGAAATTCTTCTAAATTAATTTAATGCCCACTGGTGACTTACTAAAAAAAGAAAATGCCTGGAGAGCTAATCAGAAATTGTGACCAGTAGGGTCCTTCCGGTGGGGAGTGGAGGCGAATACTCGACGATGACACTGACTGGTGCCAGTTGTGCTAAAATCACGAGTTGACAGATTCACATGCTTGCCACTGAGTTGAGTCCAGGTGACTGAGTGGTCTGCGAGCTTTCATTGTAGTCGGAATGTGCTAGATTCAACCCCCGTTGATGGGTGCCTACTGCAGAGGAGTCCTGAACTGGGACCAAATAGCTGTCCAGTGCTTCTTGGTTGGTTTTCGATGGTTGTCTATCTGATATCAATACGTGGTCAAACTTCGAACAAGTCGAATCCTGTTGGGGCTGGTGTAAGCCACTTAATATCCCTGTATACAGGGAGTAAGACAAGTCCTCCTGTGATAATCACAGGGGGATTAGCTTGACCGATATGGTATCTGGAGTTCTAGGCTCAATAATCATGCGTAGACTAAGTAGTGCAATGAAGAAAAAACAAGATAACCGGGCAGGCTTTAGACCAGGAAGAGGGTGTATCGATCACACCTTCACCCCTCGACAGATTATGGAACATAGGCATACTTACCGGCGTCCAGCAATGGTCAAATTTCTTGACCTACCTGAAAGTGGCATTCGATTCCCTCTACCAAGAGGTACTACGGCGATGTTTGGCTGTGAATGGAATGCTGAGAACATACATCGTACTAATCAAGGCACTTTACTCAAATTCATGCAGTTAGCCAAGTGACAGTCTATGGAGAGTTGTCACCTGAAGTGGTGACAACTATTACTGTCCGACAGGGATGTCCACTGTCTTCATTTCTGTTGTGTTTCATCATAGATATTGTTTTGATGGACTTAACTCTTACTGACTTCATAGACTCGGTGGTTGACTTGTTACCAGATAATAATCTCGTTGACTTAGAATATGCAGATGATATAGTCCTTCTTGGTGAAGACGCTGACAAAATGCAGAGTCTTCTGAACATCTTGAGGGGCAGCAGTATAGGAATGTTCAACATGCAGTTCGCCCCCGCTAATTTTACGATGATACTACATGACTGGACCACATTGACTCCTAGCTTAGAGATAGGGAGTGAAGTGGTGGTTGAGCGTATTGCCCACTTCGCTTATTTGAGGAGCTGCATCAGCCAGCACCAACGAGTTGATCGCTGACGAAATCTCAGCACGGATACAGAAGGCTTGTTTCGCATATGCCAGTTTACTCCGTCTCTGGCGTACACGTGATATCTGGCTGGCTATAGACCAAAGGGCGTGTGTACTGCTCTGCAGTTCACTCTGTTCTCCTTTATGGCTGTGAGACATGGCCATTCATAGTACAGTATATAAAAAGATTATCTGTCTTTTGTCATAGGTGTCTGCGTTCTATCTCTTGTGTTAAGTGATGTAATAAGGTGAGGAATACTGAGATTAGCCTTCGGTCGAATGATAGGAAGATGGCAGGGAAAATCAATCAACGAGGTTATGAAGTTACACTGATTGAGGTGGTTAAGACATGTGTTACACATGCCTAGCCATCGCCTTCCCTGATTGGGCGATGTTAACTGACATATAATCAGGTTGGAAAAGAGCTAGTAGGGTGATCCGGGAGGTGTAGACTGCTTGGCTGGTTTGGGTTCTCGGGATGGTAAGAACCAGTGGCTGAAGACAACTGGTGATATGGTTCGAAATCACTCTCAATGGCGTAGATGCAATAAAATTCGATTTTTCGTAAATATTACTATTTCTTTTACCTCACAATTCTGTTTGTTATCTCTCTTTACTCTCTTGTCTGGCTTTGTGTGCTACACGTAGGGAGTGTGACAACTCGGACTGCTGCACACCTGTGCAAAATAGTTCTAGTTTGAAACCAGTCAGTCAAAAATCTATTTACTTATTGCTTGTGAACCCTGGTAATATCAACGTCTGTGTTCAAGGATCCTACATACCAAACTGAGGCTGACCAATTAGGTCACATATATGTTTATATATATATATATATATCATAGAGGTGAAAAACAAATAATCTGGATTATTAGAATAAAACGTTTAAAGTTTCTAAGATTAGAAACTGGATAAACGCCTAGAAAGAAAGTTAATGAGGATTCAATCTAATTGCTGCTTCACCTATGAATCCAACTTTTAAACTGAAAAAAAAAAACATTTTTCTGCAAACAAAAAAATTTATCTAAGTGCTATTTGTGCTTTATGGAGAGAATTTGATATACTACATTTTTTGTAGAAATAAGCGGTTGGTGTTCCTAGTGTTCACTATGGTAAAGAAGATTGAGACATAATTTGACTGGACACTAGTTAGTGACTAGTGCACAATGCGTCTAGTTCCTGTTATTGGTTCAGGCAGAATTCGATCAGTCAGCTTTGAGATGTGACCGTGATGCTGGATGGTTAGCTATCACCATACATTCTAAACTGTTATTATTCGACAGTTGGAGATAGTTGGCGAGAAGTCTTGCTTCACCTAAGTTTCTTGCTTGCTGGGATTTGTCAGAAGGGCAGTCTTGAGGAAACTCATGTTCCTTTGAGACTCGAACCCCATTCACACAATACTGCAATCAGAGGCGTCATCACTGAGCTATTCGGAATTGCGATAGGCCTTCTGTAGGACTGTAATGGATGATTTGATTGGACACTGGGTAGTAATTAATGTCAATGCATACGAGCATAGGAAACCATTCCTACTACTTTCCTGGTCATGTGCAACGATAGAGGTACAACTGAACAGTGACACATTATATTCAGGATCCTTGAATAAATTTACACAACTATTTATTAATAATGTCTTTGCATCGTGCTAATCTCTTAACTACACTATTTATCTTGCTGATTTACCACTTCTACTGTGAAATTTAATAATATTTTTTACAAAAACCCTTTAAATTAACTGTGATCCAGTTAGAGACAAATTCCGCTGACAGAATTTGGCATCCTGCTTAAAAGTCTTCATAGTCAGTAGCACATAGCTAAAAAAAGCATCTTCTAAGCAGCAGTATGCGTTACCGTCGAAAAGAGCGTAGATTGGAAGTTAATCCTGCACCTCAACCTCATCGAATTTGAAAAGGCCTTCGGAAGCGTTGACCGTTGAGCAATTTGGAGTGCCACAAAACTTTTGGAAGCATTATTCAGAAACTATATAACAGTGGCCCATGTCACGGGAACCACTACGGAAAACTCAGAGACAGGACTAAGACAAGGCTGCCTGTTGTCACTGGTGATTTACCTGATTGTGATGGACCGGATTATTCTCCACACTGTACCAGAGGAGCTTGAAAAAAGGAATACTTTTGACAGATAAGAAGACTCTAGAAGATCTCGACTTCGTGTAGGACTTTATCTAACATCACATAAATTCGAAGACTTGTTGGCGAAAACCAACAAAATGGCAGAAGAAACAGTTAGCGAAAACAGAACTCCAAGTGGCCACAGAGAAGACGGAGGAGATGAAGATAACCAACAACAACAAACACCAATCATTATTAGCGGTAGGAATTTTAAAGAGATCATTTCCTTCATTTATCTGGTCAAGCAGCATCGTTTCACCTGCAGGCGACGGAACGGATGCGAATGTCAAAACCATAATCAGGGTGGTAAGGCGGACAAAGATAACTCTGAGATCAGAACAAAATTTGGATTTTTAATATTACTGTTAAGTCAACTCTTCTATATGGGTTAATAAACCTTGAGCGCACTTCACGAAGGATGATAATGATAATAATAACAATGAAAGCCATGAAATTTAACCATCCCATCCCAAAGAATCCCAATTTTAAACAAACGCATAAAAAAGCTAGAAAATGTTTTAATCAATCAGCAATTCTGTACAAAATTATGATGTAGAAGTAACAAAAAGGAGCTGTAGCAAAAGTGTATCAAAAAATGACGCTATTTTTGTTCTTCGTATAGTTTACTTACAATTACAAACCAAGTACATTTGTATATTTGAAAGACTATTTCACCTAGTTACGTAAATTCATATCCACCATTCTTTTCCTTGAACTTCTGGTTGTCCTGTACGCCCAAACTGTATAGCCATATCAGCAGTTTTCATACGTGATGCACCTTTAGCTTCTCTTGTCTTGTAGTCACCTCTTTCAAACGTGAAATGACGACAGAATAGTACTAAGGCGATAACAGATAGAATTAGGATTATTCCAGAGACGACTGTAAAAAAAACAAGAAAGAAGCGAAAGGTAAACTGGATTGTTGTCACATTAGTTAACAAGAAGATATTGTGACTAAAATAAATAAATTAGTCTGGAAGTATCAATCAGCGCGTTCGCCTAACTCGTCCCACTTACTTTCCCCTTTATCTTACCATGTCCCATCAATCGATTGTGTCTTTAAAATGACCTTTTACTATTCCCTCTAGTCCAGAGTGGAGCATGGGGCTAAAATACAACATCTTCATTTTACCCCGTTCTCTACAGCTTCCTTTAGCCACCTATAAACCCTTATTTTTGATTGGACACACCAATCAGTAACTAGTGTAATATGTCTAGTCCTATCTTCAGTGCAGACTGAATTTTATCAGTCATGTTTGGAATGTGGCCAACATGCTAGATGGTTCGCCATCACGGTGCACTGTGAATTGTTGGTATTAGATAGTTGGAGGCAATCGGCAGGAAGCTTTGGACCTATGTTTCGTGCTAGTTGGCACTCATCAGATACGCCTTGCTGATAAGTGTCAACTAGCACAAAACCTAGGTCCAAGGCTTCCTGCCGACTGCCTCTAACCATCTAATACCAAACCCTCATTTCCTACTGACACGATCTCCTCAAGGCCACCCCAGGATACACGAGCGATAGCCTGCATTATACACGATGTCACTCAACGGTCTTCTCAGTGTGTGTCCAGTCCATCTCAATTTCCTTCAGAGTATTTGTTGAGCGATAGTTTCTCGATTGGTTTGTCCCCAGAATTTCTTATCGCTAATTCTTTCCGCCCAGCCATCTTATCCTTAGCTTGAAGCCGGCGAAAGCAGTTGTTGATAAAAGTCTACAGCCTGTGTCTAGATGCTTTCCGTGATGCGCCTGTCAAGTTTCTGACCCATATGGAAGAAGTAGCTGACTTAATATTGATGTTGAAAATCAGAGCTTTGTTCCACATAATGAATGCAGAGTGGTGAATTCCTGTCTTGCCTTCCTGATTCTGGTTTCAACTTTGTCATCCACGTGGTCTCTCAATAGTAGAAACGTTACTGCCTAGATAAGTGAAGGAAGAAACGTCTTCCAAACTCCTTCCGTTGATAGTGATTGCAGTTACCTGGTCGTTTTCATCACCTCTATCTTCTCCATATTTACTTGAAACCCTGTCTTTTTGTTCCCCAACTTTTCTGCTAAATTATTGATTTCAGCCTGTGAATCTTCGAATTCATATGACATTTTACGCAAATCTTGCATGAAGTCTAAATCTTCCAGGGTCTTCTTGTTGGTTTAACGCTAACTGTTAATTACCTCCAATTCTTTTCAAGCCTAATACTACCTAAAACAGTCTTAGACCAGCTTGAACCAGTCTGGACAAATTAAACCATAAGATCAAGGCAGAATATTTCATTATAATACGATTGAAAATTGGACGACCTTGAAACCTATACTTGTGCAACCAATTAAATTACTTATTTAGTGGCTTAACTTCCCGAGGTTGGTAACATTTACATATATAATATATCTACGTATAACAAAAGTTGATTATTCTCACTGCCTTGGATTAGTCTGTCTTTATTTATGTGGACGCTGGGGGTTAGACACGTTACCTAATGCCTCGCCTTAACGAACCCTTGTCAGAGCATTAATATTAGTGCCATTCATTTCAATCCATATCAAAATTTAAGCGACATTATCGGACTCGAACAGCGGCGTTATTACTACCATAGATATATTTACATATATATATCACTAATCAGTGATAAATTTGGTTGCATCCAACTTCCCAAAGACCCTGGCTTGTCTTATCATATTAATATATTTGTAAAACCTGGGCACTTTAGTAGTAAGTAATTCCATTTCAGATTGTTTATTAGATATATCGCACAGTGAAACAGTATTAATATTTAGTGGATGACAAGGTTTCGAACAAAATTGATTGTCCATAATCATATCAACTATAATCACACCACTTCGCAAATTGGGTCTTATAGTTTTCTTTATTCGTTCTTATTCGTCGTCGTAGGGGCAGTGGAATTTTCCAGATGTCTTGATGCACAGGTGTGCAATCATTCCCATTACACGTGTTTGCAGTTGATTCGATGAATGAAGCTTCCGTTATCAATCTCTTCTTCCAGCGTATTATATTAGAATTTAGATCTGTCATCTTATCCCAAGACAGGGATATCCTGGACCGACGTGAAGAAGCTAGAAGACTTAGATTTCGCGGATGATTTATGTTTGATGTCACACAAAATCGAAGACTTACAAGCGAAAACGACAAACTGGTCGAAGAGGCTGGCAGCAAAGACAGGACTCCAGGTGAACATAGACAAGACGGACGTTATGAAAATAACCAACCAACAACAACAACATCCAGCGCCAATCACCATCAACGGAAGGGATTTGAAAGAGGTCACTTCATTCACTTATCTAGGGAGCATTGTCTCAACTGCAGTAGGAACGGACGAGGATGTCAAATCGAGAATCGGGAAGGCGAGAAACACATTCATCAACCTGAAACCAATCTGAAAATCTTCGTCGCTCAGCATCAACAACAAAGTGATTCGGATTTTCAATACAAACGTCAAGTCAGTCAGTTCTTCTATACGGATCAGAAACTTGGCGGCGGGTCACAAAGAATATTTCCAACAGCCTGTTGCAGACCTTTATCAACAACTGTCTTCGCTGGCTCTATACTCAAGATCAGATGGCTGGAAAGAATCACCGACAAGAAACTATGGGAACAAACAAAACAAGGACCGATCACCCAACAAGTATGCAGGAGAAAGTGGAGATGGATTGGACACTCGCTGAGGAGGCCGTTGTGTGACATCGCGCGTCAGGCCCTCGAGTGGAACCCGAAAGGGAAGCGGCGAGTGGGACGTCAGTGCAAGGGTGACATGGAGGAGATCGTGTGAGGAGGAGATGAAACAGTATGGAATAACATGGACGCAAGTGAAAAGTACAGCAGAAGACAGAAGTAAGTGGAGGCGTGCAGTTGAAGCCCTATGTTCCACTAGGAATTTAAGGGGACAATAATAATAAATAATACATCTTATCCCACCCTATCGTATGGTTGTGTGTAATTGCATGCAGTGCTACATAGCTGAGCTATCCTCCAGATTTCTTATCTTATTCGGGTTAACTAATCTAGATTTTGCTGCTGGGTTTTTATGCTCCACTTGTCTGACTGCCCCTGTTCTACTAGTTTGACTTATGTATTTGACCTGAAAATCATTGCAGGGTATTAGATAAACTAAATTGTTTTGTTTGAGTGGCTCCACGGGATCTTTTAACCGACAAAGCTTGTTTCTAATTGAGTTTTTGTGGGTTTGCATGCCGACCACTTTTATTCCTGCCTTGTTACGAATTCTGTGTAAGGTTTCCGAGGTTCGTTCTTTGTATGAAAGTACTACTGATGACTTAAATTCCTTATCGTTGGTGTCGTGATTATCTTGCGGATGTTTGACATGAATGTCGTCATTGAAATTACCATTATTATTATTATTACTAACAAAATGTAGACTGGTCGACCCTAATGTGAGACAGTAAGTCTGAAGAATAGTTCAGCTATATAACAATACATGCAATTACATACAACCATGTAATAAGATGCGATAAGATGACAGTTCTAAAATGCAATATAATACGCTGGAAGGAGAGACTGATAATGGAAGCTTTATTTATCGAATCTACTGCAAACACGTGTAACAGGAATGATTTAACAACTGTCCCAGACATCTGGAAAATTCTACTACTCCCGGCGACGACAAATAGGAGAGAACAAAGAAAACTTAAAACAACAGATTTAAGCGAAAAATATTGTTTTCAATTAGATCTCATCAGGCTTGACTCGAATATACATAACTTTACAAATAAAAATTCACATATAAACCAATCACGGTGTTTTGTCTATAGGATAAAAAGGTGGTCCACATAAATTGTGCAATCACTCATATTAGTAATAATAATAATGGTTCTATCAATAATAAAGAAAACTATAAAAATCAAGTTTCGAAGTTGGCTGATTATAATTGATATGTTTATGAATATTAAATTACAAATTTTGTTCGAAACATTGTCATCCAGTAAATAATACTGTTTCATTGTCTGAGACATCGAATAAACAAACTAATATGTCTTCCCACTTATTTGTAAATCAGTAATTTATTCTGTTGAAGCCTATCATACTGGAATTTCCGCTTTTTTCTTATTTCCATACAACAGGAACTCGCACCTGAATATTCCTAAAATTTTGTGTAATTTAGGGAGTCTATATCTGAATAGAAATACCTTCATCATCTTATTGAGAAAGTTTAATTCTTCCACCTTAATGATAAGAAACAAGCGGACGCAAGTTTGCAAAATGCTTTATATTAGTCTCTATTTAAATATAAGTCACTAGTGAGTCCCATCAACTGTATATGGGGAAATGATTGAAATCTCTATCGCTGTTCTCTGGCATCTTGAACTAACCAGAATATAAACATTACAGCTTCATAAAGCTTACTACTCAAATATATTAAAGTAGTATATGGTGTATATTACGAAATCGTAAGTATTTCTTCAGTTTAAGGAAAATAAAACAGACCTAGCTTAATAATATGGACAATATTAATAATTATATTTGAGACATTGTTTCACATTCAAATCATAATTTTGTTTTATGCATCAAATTTCGGCTGATATAAGAATAAAACTTGGGCACTGTGGTAGAGTGTAATTCCATTATGGGTAAATTTTATTTTTATAGAGTCTCACAGTGTTATACAGTAATATCAAGTAATATCAAGTTGATATGATTATGAGCAATAAATTGTGCTCGAAACGTCATCAGTAAATATTACTGTATAACACTGTGAGACTCTATAAAAATAAAATTTACCCATAATGGAATCAAATTTCGGCGTTATTAGACCTTTCGCATATCCAACTGGCCTACGAATTAGTCCCTCGTAATAGGTGTTAATCCCCGATCAAACTTGAAACTAGGCGGATCTCTATAAAAACAACACTTGAAAACTAATCTCCTGCTCACTAGCAACTGACAACAGGATGGAGCTACCTGGAGTTTTGGTAAGAAACAGTGACCACTAGGGTACACAAGGTCGGATGAGAGGAGAAATACGTTCCGATGAAATTAGTTGGCGGTGGCATTAAAAGTAGGGAATTGACAGAAGTTAGAATTCATGGGCCATTGACTCAGTGGCTGAATACCCAATTTCGTAATCTTAAAGTACTATAGCTTCGATGCCGAGTGGAAGGGGTTTCGTGGGTACGTACCATTGAAGAGTCCCAAACATGAACGAAACAGCCGTCCACTACTCAGTTAAGGCGCCAGTACAAATCAGACAAATTTCAAACTCCAAATAATAAAGTGTACATGTATTCAAAAGCCATCTTCCCGTCGTAGAGTTAACTTACGGAGAAATCTATAAATCAGGCGGTTTTCAAGGATAGTTTTATGATGACAAAGAAAAGTTTGGTAGTTGATTGTAACATTTTCACTTATTAAATAAAACCTTTTGGTGTTTTAATTAAATTACATAAAATTGATGCTAGATAATTGGGGGTAATTGGTAAGCAGTCCTGTGCTGAGATGTTGTACTTATTAATAATCATCAAGAAGGGTGTCTGAAACTCGGAAGGAAATGTTTACACCCCTCTTAGAGATCCGGACGCATATCATCCAGTGAAAGAGAGAGAGAGAAACGTTACCACTGAACTATTTAGTCCAACACTGATCCTCTATAGGACCGTATTGAATGTACTGATAAATTACAGTACCACTGTGGTGAGAGCAAGCTGCTAGCCGATTGGTAGACATTGATCTACGCTGATTGGTAGAAATTAATCTAGGCTGATTCAACAACCGATCACAGCTGACCTAGACGTGGACAAATATGATTCGCAGACAATTGGCTCGCATTTCCAAGAAATATCGAAAACGAGAAAGCAGAAGACTGCGTTTGTTTGCAAACAACCAATCAGAAGACCGCCTTCTTTCTGCGGGCAGAAGCCTATTAATGTACGTAAAATACATATAAATACCTGTTGGTTTTCGTAATAAAACTGATCTGTTGCCTGGCCCTTGTCTTCTGTTGTTACACCACAACCAACGTTATGCACTTAAACAAAACTTGGATTAGTCATTCTGAAGCCTAAATTTATAATAATTCTCTCCAAAGATCCATAGGAAATAAATGCTATTATTATTATTATTGTATCCTTTAATTCCTAGAGGAACATAGGGCTTCAGCCGTGCGTCCCCATTGCGTTCGGTTCTCTGCTAGAGTCTTCACCTGGCTCCAAGTCTGTCCACAAGTTTTCATCTCCTCTTCATATGACCTCCTCCAAGTCACCCACACCCACGCACTGACGATCAACTAGCCGCTTCCCATTCTGTCGGGTTTCACTCGAGCAATGGCTTGTCTAGTGATGTCACCTGATGGTTTCCTCAGAGTATGGCCAACCAATCCATCTCCATTTCTTCCTGCCTATTTGTTTCACAATCGGTTCCTGTTGGGTTGGTTCGCTCATCGCCAGAGATTCCTGTTGCTGATCTTTTCTGGCTGGCCGGCCATCTGATCTTGAGTAGTATTGAGCGAAGACAACTGTTAATGAAGGTCTGTAGTTTGTTTGAGATGCTCTTTATGACACGCAGTGCAAGTCTCTGATCCATATAATAGCACTGACTTCACAGTGGAGTTGAAAATCCAGATCTTATTTTTGATGCTGAGTGCTGTTGACCTCCACACAGACTTGAGAGTAGTGAAAGCTTGTCTTGCTTTCCCGATCCTCGCTGCTTTGATATCCTCGTCCTTTGCGTTCTCCTGTAGTTGAAACGATGCTTCCCAGGTAGGTAAAGGAGGTTGTTTGTTTCAGGTTCCTCCCATTTATGCTGATTGTTGTCTGTTGTTGTTGTTGCTGTTGGTGGTGTTGCCCAGGAATCTTCATCACCTCTGTTTTCTCAATGTTGACCTGAAGTCCTATCTTTGATGCTTCTTCTGCCAACTTGTTGCTTTTCGCTTGCATATCTTCCAGTTTGTGAGAAATCAGACATATATCATCGGCGAAGTCCAGATCCTCCAAGTTCTTTTTTGTGTGAGTCCATTTCATGCCTGCTTCCTCATTGCCCGCTGTTTGTCGCATTATCCAGTCTACTGCAATCAGGAAAATCACTGGCGATAATAGGCAGCCTTGTCTTACTCCTGTCCTCACTTCGAAGGGTTCCGTAAGTTTCCCGTTGTGGATTACTTGGCATGCAGCATTGTCGTACAGCTGTTGGATGAGAAATGTGAATTTAAGGCAGTTATCACCATCACTTGTTCAGAGATTATCCTCTAATTCTCCTCTTATCTATTTACGGTTAGAACAAGGAATCCATATGTTGGGTAATATGACTCAATAGGCCCGCTTCATAGCGTTCAACAATTACACTTATCTTTATTTATCTGATACTTAAACCCGCATTACTCAGTCTCTAAATCATTCAATTTACAGATGGATTTGTGTAGAACGGGTCAATATACACGAGATATTTGGTAGTTGGTTGATGGTTGGAACCGATAAACACAACACTCTTATGCACTGTGGTACAACTCGGACTAAGATCTGCACAACTAAATTAGTCGTTATCCAGTCATCAATTTGTCTAACAAATTTTTACCTCTGTAAATTGTCTACTCTTGTAAACGATTGATATAATCTTCCCTCAATAATCTAGAGGTTTGTTAGTGCGTAATACCTGGAGAATAAAATAAATATTAGAAGTAACCGTCAACAGTGTTTGTAAAAATGTTTCATGAATACAAAGAATTTTAGCTAAAAAAATAAAAACACAGTAAATACCTCCAGCAATAATCCTGTTTTCTCGTTCTTTGTCATCTGTAACTTCTGGCATAGTAATATTAGGTGGAATAGCTGGAGAAGGACGTATCTCTACAGGTTCCTGTTGTGGTAATATTTCAATGAAACCACATAAATCTTCTCGAACAGAATCTACAAAGTACCAATAAATTAGCAAAAATCACTTTTAAGGTTTTGGTAGTATAGGATAGGAAACATAGTAAAGTCAATTTTTCAAAGTCTAGAACTTCACCCAGATGCTCACTTTTATACTACTGAGAGCACTTTGAAATCAATAAGAATATCAGATTAGATGTCCTTAGTGCCAGCATATTTTTTCATAACTTCCATCTTCTGACTTTTGGATAACTGTAGACCTGAAGAAAGTAAAATCCTGTCTGTTTCTATTGGATATTTGAAGCCAGCTACATAAAACTGGAGTTTGTTAATAGACTTGTTTCCATTTAGTCTGTAAGCAGTGTATTTCTGACAGGGACTTTTTATACCTGACAGCATATACTGCTCACTACGTAATATAAGTAGTTGGATAAAACATACACATTATTTCGTAGTGCTTGGAAACCAGCTTGAAATGATCCAAATACTGGTAAATCGCTTTGTTCGTTTGAGACCGAGATCATCAGCGCGGTTTGACTCAATCTAGTCAGCCAAATCATTTCAAATCACTTGGATTATGGCAGTCTTCTTGGACAGACTAGAATCAAATTCCTGATATTAGATGGTTGGAGACAATCGACGGGAAGCCTTTGACCTATGTTTCGTGTTAGTTGGCACTCACCAGTCGACAAAGCATACCTGCATCCTCGAAGGAATTCATGCCCCTTCTTAGATTCGAACCCGTGTCATCCAGTGCTGTGGTAATAGACGTTACCACTGAGCTAGTCGGACTCACGACTGACCTCTCGTAGGACTGTATTGGATACTTTCACTGGACACTATTCAGTAACTGTTGTAATATGTCTAGTCCTATCTTTGGTGCAGACTGGAATCTATCAATCAAGTTTGTAATGTAGTAAATAGCTCAGTGGTGACGTCTTTGACTGCAGCACTGGGTGATACGGATTCGAATCTCAGAAAGGACACGAGTTCCTTCGAGTTTTCAGGTATGCCTTGTCTACTGATGAGTGCCAACTAGCACGAAACATAGGTCCAAAGCTTCCTGTCGATTGCCTCCAACCATCTGATATCAGCAATTCAAATTGTACCGCGACAGTGAGCCACTTAGAATGGTGGCCACATTAAAAACTTGGCTGATAGAATTCAGTTTGCACCAAAAATAGGACTAAACGCACACATTACATCAGTTACTAACTAGTGTCCAAACAAAATGGAATCAAATTCACAATCTACGCATTACATGTTATCAGATGGAAATTCACGAGAGTTTCTGAAACCGAAAATGTTAAGAATCCCGATGATTAAAACTAAACTACCGGAACTGCAAATCGAGCCGTCATAGCTCAATGATAACGTCTCTGATAGCAGCACTAGGTGACTCGGGTTCAAATCTCAAGAGGGACATGAGTTCCTTCAAGGCTGCAGGTAAATACCTTACTGGTTGGTGAGTGCTAACAAATACGAAACCCAAAATCAAGCAAGACTTCCTGCTGATATCCTCCAACTATATAATACATCATATATAATACACCAACTAGGAAATACATCTTTTAAAACGCGATCATCTTATTCTAAATATACTGAGTTGGTGTTACACCAGTTATCAGATGCAGTAAGCAATCAATTGGTGACTTCGTTTTATATAAACCCAAGATCCTATTACATAACACAAATTATGGCCTGGCCATTATCTAGAAAACTATATTATTATATTGTTATTGTTCCCTTGGGTTCCTAGTGGAACAAAGGGCTTCAACTGCACGTCTCCACTTGCTTCTGTCTTCTGCTGTGCTTTTCACTTGCATCCATGTTACTCCATGCTGTTTCAACTCCTCTTCACACGATCTCCTCCATGTCACCCTTGGATGTCTCACTCGCCGCTTTCCTTTCGGCTTCCACTCGAGCACTGGCCTGACGTGCGGTATCGCCCAGCGGCCTTCTCAGCGAGTGTCCAATTCATCTCCACTTTCTCCTGCATATTTGTTGAGCGATTGGTTCTTGCTTTGTTTGTTTGTTCCCATAGTTTCTTGTTGGTGATTCTTTCCGGCCATCTCATCTTCAGTATAGAATGAAGACAGTTGTTGATAAAGGTCTGCAACAGGCTGTTGGAAATACTTTTGGTGACCCGACAAGTTTCTGAACCGTTTAGAAGAACTGACTGACTTGACGTTTGTATTGAAAATCCGAATTTTGTTGTTGATGCTGAGTTGAGTGACGAATATTTCCAGATTGGTTTCAGGTTGATGAATGTGTTTGTCGCCTTCCCGATTCTCGATTTGAAATCCTCGTCCGTTCCTCCTGTAGTTGAGACAATGCTCCCTAGATAAGTGAAAGAAGTAACCTCACTATATCAAATGTGAATTATCCACATTAATTTGTCAGGTTGTCGTCAAAAACTGACAGTAATTCACTCTGAAACAAGGCAACCTTACGGTAATTTGGTGTCTAAGCTAGGCAAAACACTTTCTTTTATTGGATGTGCAGATCCCATTTAGGTGTAGGGAAAACAAACCCTTGAAATCCTGCCTCAATAAAATACAATATGCTTGGTGAAAGTATTTTTCCTCGATATATAAGTCGATTATTTATGAGCTAAGGTTAAAACAAATGAAGGTCATTTCATATATATATATATATATATCTGATTCCTCTACAGTTCTACCACACTGCATCTGAGAGTAAATGTCAATGTCCTATATTTTACATACAGGGGTGATTGGACGAAAATGAAGCTGACATATCCTTTGTAGATAAAGATATCAGAAGTTATGCTAACCTCCCTTCTGTTGATAAATTAATATAGATAGACCTCAAAAGGATGCTGCTACTCAGTCTCGAATTTAAAAGTGATACCGAAAATGGCTTCCAAAATCTTTCAGTAAACCATACTTCATCACCAGACTAAGAGTAACACTATCTTGCAAGAAATGGTTTAGCCAACACGTGAAAGACTGGTTGTCGTATTGGGTCGCTTTAATATGCACACACCAGTTCACTTGCTGTTTTGGAACTGAGTACATTTGGCATATCATCCGTCCGCTTGTAAAACACCTTCAGAAACATTATCCCGCCTGGCTAGCAAAAGGAGAACGTAGGTGTGTATACACCTCGGTTACAGAACATCTGATAACCCCAGAACATTTAGCTCCATTGAAAAAGTTTTTTCAAAGTCCTATACAAACTTGGATTGAACCTATCAAAGGGATTGAGATCAAGGCATCTGGGCATAGCTGGGTCACTAGCGTTCCAAAATTTCAAGCCCACACTATATTTACAAAAGAAATACATCCAGCCTTTGTCTCTACCAGTGCTGTCGTAAACAGTCTATTCTCTTAAATAGTCATTATCCTATTACGTTTCTTATCCAAATTTGCTGTCTATTTCGTTATTACTACTTCTTTAATCCCTAACTGAACGAAAAGTCAATTTTCTCAATAATTATGATCTCAATATGTCTTTATCTGATATTTTATGAGTACATTTTAATCCTTTTTGTAGCCTTGAAGCCTCAACCGGAATTACTTCTAGGACACAAAAATATAGACAAGCTGATGCCTTTTATGAAACCTGCTTATATATATTATATTTAACAGATGAAATTATTCTCTTGTTTTTTGAGTTAGACCACGGATTGATATCAGTTAGAGAACCACTGAAAACCAAGGAGTACTCAACAGCTGTTTTCATCTTACTTTGGGAATCACCGGCAGTACACATCCACCCCCAGGGTTCGAACCCAGGAACTTCCGGTTACAAACGTACTATAGAAAATTAATCTGCTGCTCGCTAGTGACTTGCTACAGGACGGATTTTCCTGGAGTTGTAGTGAGAAGTCATGACCAATGAGGTCCATTCAGTCGGTACTCGGGTTGGATTTCCCGTCGATGACATTGGTTGCTGGTCGCGCTGAAATCACGAATTGGTAGAAGTTAGAATTCATGAGCTGGCCATTGAATCGGGTCCCAGTGGCTAAATGGTATAAGAGCTTGCCTTGCAACCGGAAGGTCTTGGGTTCGAACCCCGATAGTGGGTGAGTACTATGGATGATTCCCAAAACTAGGATTAAACATCTGTTGAGTACTCCCTGGTTTTCAGTGGTTCCGCAGCTGATATCAATCCGTGGTCAACCTCGACAAACAAATCTAATCCTCACACATCAACTCTTGAAAATTTTTCGTATCAGCTAAACAATTTGATTCGGAATAACATATGAGGTAACAGTGTGCTGATATGAGCAAAGACTCTCTCTAACCTGTTATCACAAGAAATTTTTTAGCTTATAGTCCACATGTACGAGTAGTTAAGACACTTTAGTTTTATAATGACGTTAATTTACACATCTTCAAATTTCGTAGTTAACCACTTGGAATTATTTATTGAACAGCTCAATCTTCGTACACTGAATTGTTAAAATTAGAGCAGTGACAAAATAAAAGCCTTAAGTGATGAGTAATGCTCAGAAATAATTACCATTAATATTAAAAATGTTTGAAAACAGAAATGCTTTTCAAAAGAGTAAGAGTTTCTGAATATTAATAATGTATGTTTTAAAGGACGCACTGGATACAGAACTCCGACCAGAACAAGCTGGATTCAGGAAAGGCAAATCATGTTCTGACCAAATTGCAACTCTACGCATCATCATCGAACAAAGCATGGAGCATTGTCTCAAATACAGGAGGAACGGACGAGGACAACAAATCGAGAATCGAGAAGGCGAGAAACACATTCATCAACCTAAAACCAATCTGGAAATCTTCGTCACTCAGCCTGCATCAACAACAAAATTTGGATTTCCAATACAAACGTCAAGTCAGTCAGTTCTTCTATACGGATCAGAAACTTGGCCAGTGGGTCACAAAGAATATTTCCAACAGCCTGTTGCAGACCTTTATCAATAACTGTCTTCGCTCTATACTCAAGATCAGATGGCCGGAAAGAATCACCAACAAGGAACTATGGGAACAAACGAAACAGGAACCAATCGCTCAACAAATATGCAGGAGAAAGTGGAGATGGATTGGACACTCGCTGAGGAGGCCGCTGGGTGACATCGCGTGTCAGGCGAGTGCTCGAGCGGAACCCGAAAGGGAAGCGGTGAGTGGGACGTTCAAGGGTGACATGGAGGAGATCATGTGAACAGGAACTGAAACAGCATGGACTAACATGGATGCAGGTGAAAAGTACAGCAGAAGACAGAAGCAAGTGGAGGCGTGCAGTTTAAGCCCTATGTTCCACTTGGAACCCAAGGGAACAATCATAATAATGTTTTAAAGTTAGGAGCTTGAAGGGAAAAAAATAACAGGAGAGAAGAAACGTATAGATATGGATTACGTACCAAATTATTGTTTGAAAAAAGGGAGGGTTTAGGGCGGTGGCAGTAAAAGGGACTGGATAAACCGCTTCTGTTTAATACATAGTTTAAGGTCTTCCTTGTGTATAGTAACAGCTTCTGCTGTGGACAGAAGACATAGCGGAAAACCCTTCGAACGATCTAGCCTTAACTTATATTTCACTTTGAAAGACTTTTCCATTAGTGTGGAGTGATTCATGTGGACAAGATGCTCAAGAGTTCAACTATTGGTTAGTCTAAGTTCCCATTACAACAGCCATACTGGGAGACTTTCGTGTGTGTGTGTGTGTGTTTAGACAATATCCTACTGGTACGGCTTATGTACTTAGCTGTGTACTTGACAATTATTTCTGAGCGATAGTCATTAATTAAAGTTCTTAGATCAAATAATTTATTATTTATCCTGAAATGTAATTCCATATGTTCTGTTACCAACTGTCGTGGAGAGTAGACATTTGATAGGTATTTCCCTGACCTATCGGAACGCTATATAACTGCTCAGTTTTGAAATGAAGTTTTATGTTAGAGCTATTCCCTTGGATTCCTAGTGGAACATAGGGCTTCAGCACTACATCTCCATTTCGTCCTGTTCTCTACAGTCCTTCTTAGCTGGTTTTACGATTGCACATAAACTTTTATCTCCTCTATATCACCCTTCGACGTCCAAATAGTCATTTCCCACTCGGGTTCCGCTCAACAGATGGTCTAGAATGAGATATCACTCAACGATCGCCTCAGTGTGTGTTTAATCCGGCTCCATTCCCTTCGGCAATTTTGTTGGTTGATTGGTTCGTTCATTGGATCTTCAGTATAGAGTGAGTGAAGGCGGCTGTTGACGAAGGTCTTCAGCAGGCTGTTGGAAATGCTTCCCGTGGTATTTCAAGCCATATTGAGGCCACAATTTGACATTAGTGTTAAAAATCCGAATTTTGTTGCGCGTGCTGATTGCAGTAGTTTTCCACACTAATTTCAGATTAATGAAGATTTGTTTTTCTCTTCCAACCCTTCCTCTGATATCTTCATCCGTGCCACCTAGAGTTGAAGCTATACTGGCCAAATAAACGAAGGAAGTGACCTACCTTATACTCCTCCCGTTGATAGTGATTGATGCTTATAGGTGGAAGTGGTGGTTGGTTATCTTTATCACTTCTGTTTTTCCTACATTCCCTTGAAGTCTTGTCTTCTCTGTCTGTATCTTCTGCCATCTTGTTGGCTTTCACCTGCAGGTTTTTGAGGTTGGTGTGACATTAAACACAAATCACCTGCGAAGTTCGAATCTCTCTGTCGGTCCAACGCGTTCCTATCTTCTCAATCCTGATGGTCTGGTGCATAATCCAGTCCACCACAATCAGGTATATCACCAGTGATAGTAGGAAGCTATGTCTTACTCGTGTCTTCACTTCACAGGCTTCTCCGAGTTTTCTATACTGGATCACTTGGCACGTGGCATTGTCATATGGCCAGCTACTGAGTGAGGTTGACAAAAGTTTACAGCACTCCATCATGTGTTGAAGCACTTTCCAAATTACTTCACGGCCGTCAGTGCTGTTGAAGGCCGTTTTGAAGTCGAAGTTACAAAAAGAATATTTTTCACTGACCTATATCTTCAGACGGGTATTTTTCATAATTTAAAATAAAAATCATCTGTAAAAATAAGTAATTAAAAAGGAGAAAATGAACACCTTCATAATGATCATTGCCTACCTGCTGGAACCATTTCAACCAGTGCACTTCTTGGTTCTTCATAGGCTAAATGCAAAGGGAAAATGTTATTCCATTGTGCAGCATAAATGCATCCATCGAAACCGTCAGCCGGTTGCATTGTATCATTTCGACCCATATATATGACGTATGGGTCATCCAATCTCACATCAGCTGTTGGCGATAAAAGACTACTGAAGTCTTCTACTACTTCATTATAATCGTCGACCTGTTAAATAATGTTAAAAGAAAAAAAAATAATAGAGAAGACGTTCAGCGAAGAGACTCTTTTCGGCGAATTCATTCACATAGGTGTTCAATAGCATTTATACACAATTATTTGTGTGTGTACATGAGTTTTGTCAAGTTTAGATAATTAATCAGGTAATACAAGAATAATCTAGTATAGAAACAAGGTTAATTAGACAGCAACTAAAGTAAGATTAAGATAGTAAGTTAGATGACGTAACATAAATGACTAGAAATTGAACGTTGGGCAAGTCAGTAACAGTGGTAATGAGGTGCAGAAGTTAAATCGGGTGAGGGTAGAGAACAAGAAGGTTGAAAATGTAAAATATTACAATTGAGAAGACAAAATAAGACTAATGAAGAGACAGAAGAGAAAAGAATTAGGTAGAATTTACCTATCGGGTAATAAGACAGATTACGTCCATTGAAAATGTAGTGATTGAACGAACTTCTGTATACAGAGTTCAGGACTTAGCAAGTGAATCTCCATTGCTTCTGCATTTTGAAGAAGTTTGATTTGTACACCTTAAAAAAATAATACAAAACGCTACACTATCAAATAATAATTTTAAGACTGTCAACGTGGACTAGATGTCTTTAGTCCAATCCAGTTGTCACTTCACTTGACATTACCCCTACAGATAAACAGCTGATTCTTTTCAACTATAAGCACTTCATAAAGCTATGTATACTACTGATTGATTGGGATGAGTAGTTGTATACCACTCAAATCAACCAATAATGATTGCTAGCTAGATCGAGGAGATCTAAGCACTGGACACCGGTATCATACAAGTCTTACATGCAAGGAAGAAAGTCTCAACCAACTTGCATTTCTAGACATGCATCTGAGCCGGAGATGACGATGGTTCAATAAAACGACCACTTTACAGAAAGCCTACTTGGATACGGAAATGCTTAAATTTTCCCAGCTTCTGTTCACAACGGTATAAGAGAGGCTTGGTGAAATGTTTATTTAATAGGATTCAGCGTATTTGCATGGCTGATGTTATAGAGAATGAAAACATAACACTGATGGATACTCTTGTTGAAAATGGATATCCTTTAAAAATTTTAAAACGATATGGAAGTCAATTTGTCTTAAGACCTAAAATCTATTCTGCCCCTAAGAAAGATGTCTTCATCAAATTACCATACAATGATGAAATAAATAGTAGGATTTTAAGACAGATTAAACTCGGTCATACGTAGGACATATTATGCAGTCCTGCTTGTAACCATTGAAAAAGCCAAGAAAGTGATTATGTCACATCCCACACTATTTACCAATTTACGTGTGTGTGTGTGTGGACACACATACATAGGGAGGAGTAGCGGCACTTTGCATGTGAGTGTGGAAGAGCATATTCTGAAATGCTTAGGAAGACGAGTGAACTTTGGAAAGTCAACAGACACAGATGGCAGACTACTATTTTCATCTATAGCTAAACATCTGATCGATATGAACCATAAGGTCGATGTTAACAAAGCTTTTAAGGTCACCTATAAAAGTGGTCAGGGGTGCTTAAAAAAATACGCTGAGGCTATAGCTACTCATAAACTTAAGCCCTCTCCTCCTCCTTGTGTGCTCAAAGACAATTTATTATTTTCCTTAACCTACTTTGGTAATTATTTGATTCAATTTTAGATTTTCCCGTCGATTGATTGGGCCGAAGTGCTCGGTCTCAGGTTGACATGTCACCTTCTTGTGCGGATGCTTCGACTATGTCTTGTCATGTAACTTGAAGTTAGTTGGTAGATGGTGACTAGTGGTGGAATCCAGGATGCGCATTTCATCTAATTAATTATTTAATTCAATTTAGAATCGTTGCACAAGAGGTGGCTCTCGCAGCCCACGTGGTCTGATGGATAACGCTTTGGTGTTTGAAACTAGGGGGGCTTGGTTCAAGCCTCAGTGGGAATACCATCACACACTGACTGGGGAATGCAGGTACATCCAACTGACGAGTCCTAAATAGGACGAAATGCGCATCCTAGATTCCACTTCTAGTCACCATCAATCCATCAATCGACTTCTATCTTGATAATCCTTATCTGATTAGATTACCAAACGTTTTGTTAATTATTCTTATTATTCCTAAGTCCTTTCTGTCACTTTGTGTAATAATAATAATAATAATCACTTTATTCCACAACAGTAACAATTTACAGCATGGAATTTTCAGCGTTTCTTTTACATATTGCAATGGTTTAGCTCTGTTTATAATCATATAAATGTATAAAATGTTAAAATATTGATAGTTAATAGGAAAAAATAAAACCCCAACAAAATCACACCATTGCTAGGTCATAGTTAATAATAAATAAATAATATAACAAATAACACATGCAATAATATGCATCATTTCATTTTATAGTTTAGTTAATGATTTAAAAGTTGCAAAAGTTCTTTTCTGATATTTGTCTCTTCACACAATACTCGTGCCAAATATGGTACGGTCGAATTTTCATATTTTGTAGTACGAGCATAAATTGTTTATGAAATTTCTTCTGGTCTTACCCGAAGAGATGCAAGGAAACAATTGTGAATAAAGAGGATGTTCACTATCTGACAAGATAACTTTAGCTAAGTGTTTACAAGAATTCATATGCCTATTAACAACAGTGTCGGTTAGTTGAGCCAAAGGGATAGCACTGACCCTACTTACAACCTTCAATGTTCTTCGTAGTATTATATGGTCTTTCTTGAGTAGCCCAGGGAAGAATAATGGAGAACAATAAAGTATGATGAGCAAAACACATGAATTAACAAATTGTATGAGAAGCGGTTGGGTTATACCTCAGTGCCTCAACTTCTTTATGTAATAGGTCAGACGAAAAACTTTCTTAGAAACTATAAGAATATGAGACGACCAGCAAAGGTTTGAAGAGAAACTGATGCCAAGATAAGAAACACTTGACTTACTCTCTATCACGGTACCATCAATGTTACAACAATCATGAGATCAGACCAATCCATGCATATCTTTTTCACTTCTCAAGCTGAAATCAACAGTATTACATTTAGTTGGATTTAGTTTAAGACCATTTGAGCCAGACCAATCCTTAACTTCAGCTAAGAAGCCATTCATATGGGAACAATCCGATGTGGAAACTACAGGGACAGAAACGGTCAGATCATCAGCATACTTAATGAAGTTAACTTTGGGTGAGTTCGGAAGGTCATGCAAAAAGAAAGAGAAAAGAAATGGAGAAAGTACTGCACCTTGAGGCACACCACTTTCAGTTAGCTCAGGAGTGGAGCGCTTTCCAGCCAAAACAGTATGTTGTTTCCTATCCTTAAAATAAGAAGATGGCCATCTAGTTGCCCAGGTCTCTGTCTGTGCTGAAATCATCTTTCCTAATAAAAGTGTCCTAGGAACAGAGCCGAAAGCTGCAATATAGTCTAAAAAAGCTGTTCGAACGAACTTAGCACCCTCATCAAGGCACGAAACAATATTTTGGTGTAGTACAATGGCTGCATCTAATGTACTTCTTCCACACTTATAAGCAAACTGCTTAGGGTCACTAAAAGCTTTTAAGGAAGGTTTAAGAATATTCAAAAGAAGTTTCTCCATAGTTTTAAAAAAAGGAGATGTTATAAATTTTTTTCATAGAAATTGACTTGACAAGTAAATATATGATCAGATTGTTCGAAATATATTGCATAAATACTTCGCATCACATTTTTCAAACAATTTCCGTCTTCTAATAACACCAGAAAAAAATTTATAAAAGTGACGAGGTGTTTTAGAATGAAAACGTAGACAGTATCCTGAAATGTACTAACCTTTAAGTGCCATTTAGTGCCTAAATCCGTTCTCCATGCGTAGACCATGTGATGTTGATCGTTAGTTAAGTCTATTTCATAGTTAGTTGTCACTTCGTATCGTTTGAATCCAACATCGAATTCAATTGTTATTCCACCATTATTGTTCACTTTGATAATAATATAATTACTTTCTCCTTCTCCACGCATTTCCATGAGTATGCCACGTTTTGACTTTGTTTTAAAGCCAACTTGAATATATTCTTCAACAGTGCCTAAACGATCTTTTGGTCTGCCGAGTAAAATTTTCACCATTGGACCACTGTTGAATGTTCCGCCGATTTCTAGGAGGTCAAACATTTAGTATAAAACTTTGTATACTACTTTTTTTATTATTAAGTATATTCATGTAATGTGGTACAAATATCCGGCTAGTGCACAAAACACTCACCAAAGTTAATTTTCAAATCATTTTTAACACGTATAATGTATAATCTAAATTTTATGTAAAAACAGATGACTTCAAGTTTTCCATTTTTAACGGTTATAAATAATAGTCGCAAAGTAGGATGGAACGCATTCGTGGATAGTCAGAAATCATCCCCGCATCAAAGGCAATGCAAGTCGGCAAATGCTAAAAGAGCCTTTTGTCTTCTTTCTTAGATTCTGTTAGCAACCACTCCATTAGGAATGATTCAACTCCTCAAATAATTGAGGAGGTCAATGTACCCATTCCTTCCACTTTATATCAATAAACTATGAGTCGGCCTAGACCAGTTGTCACCATGAAATTTACAGGCGAATAGTGTGCCAAACGCAGACAAACTTTTGCTCCAAGCGTTCGAAATACTTTATCTCAAACTACTCTTTCCTGCTTATTCAGATGTAATAGACCTTCGCCTGATAACCAGCAGCACTTAATGTATGCAGCTGGTAATACTAATTGGCTAACCAAACCTCAGTAGGTGGAGCTCAGTTCGAACCTGTGACTCACTAGTTGGAAGTCCAGTGTCTAAACCAATCCGAATGTGAAAGGTAAGTGTCCTTCGTTGAAGGACTGCAGCCAGCGGCTCCAGTATCACTATCCCTCTTCTTTACTGGCTAAGTTACTAATCAGATATTTCATCCTTTGTATTTCCAAGTGAATCAAAGTGTCCAGTCACAATTCAAAACTCCAAAACCTTCATGTTCCCAACATTTTTAGAAATTTAGACAAAATTTTTCATGAAACTTTTCTTTTGAAGCAGTGAATTAACGTGTACTTCATCCCATAAAAACTACTTTTAGTCCGCTGAAATCGACCATCAACAGTTTTGTTCTGTACAAAAGGTAAATTGATGATAATTTTGTCATTCGAGATAACAAATGCTACCTGAATAGTGTCCTACAAGTTTTTAACAGCTTCCACCCACTCATCAAATTTACAACTGAAGTAGAAACTGGACAGACAATCTTCTTTCTGGACGTTTGACTGACAAAGAAGACTGATGGAGGTTTGAACAGATCAGTATACAGAAAACCTAAGCGAAACAGCCAGCTGACAAGCTTTCACAGTTCGGCACCCATTAATCTCAAGTGGAACTTGATAATATCTCTTGACACTAGAACTCAAAGAACCTGCAGCCTTGAATCAGCAGATGAAGAGATCACTGTTCTGAGAAAGACACTACTTGAGAATGGTTACATCCCACACTTTATAGATAAACTCATTAAACCCCATCTTTATGCCGAAGAAGACATTATACATAAATGTGGCACTCAAAGATGAACCTTCTGGCAGGCAGTCTAAAGAAGAGAATATCTAACGCTGTGAAAAGAACAATCTCTGCTGCTACATTATGATTGGTATTCTCTTGCTGCCCATTTTTCTTCAACAACTCTAAAGACAAACTATCGCATTTGACAACTGATATATGTATCTACTAATTCACTTGCTGACGCTGAGCGAGATATATAGGTTGTTCGATGTGTGTGTTATCTAAAAGAGTTTAAGAAAATCATGCCACTTGGCTACAAAGAGGTAACAGTGCTACAGTTGAATATATATTCAATACTGGTTACTCAATATACAAGGAGAGTTCATTCATAGTTATCTACAAAGTCAAAAGAAACCTCCAGAAAACTTTATGCTTCCGTATACTTAGCACTGCCAAGGCATTAGCGATTTAGATGGAAAACCATGGTTTATGTATTATTAAATTATATTATTATTCCCGTTAGTTTCAAGTGGAACAGAGGGCTTCAACAACACATCTCCACTTTCCTCTGTTTTCTATCACTCTCTTCAGCTGGGTCCACGATTTCCCATAATCTCTCATTTTATCCTACAACTCACACGATCTCCTCCACGTTACCGTCGCACTGACACCCCACTTGTCCATCGCTTCCCATTGAAATTCCACTCGAGGGCCTGGCGCACGATGTCATTCAACGGTCTCCTCAATGGCATGAGCCCAATCCATTTCCATTTTCTCCTACATATTTGTTGGGCGATTGGCTCTCGCTTGTTGGTTTATTCCCAGCAAGAGTTTCTTGTTACTGATAGTTTCTGGTCGGCCATTCGATCTTCAGTATGGAGCCAGCGAATGGGGCAACTGTTGATGAAAATATCCAGCCTGTTGGAGATCATTTTCGTGAGACGCAGTGCATGTTTCCGACCCGTATAGAAGAACCGACTTCACATTCGTGTTGGAAATCCAAATCTTGTTATTTATGCTGGCTGAGTACAGAAGATTTCCAAACTGGTCTCAGGTTGATGAAGGCGTATCTTGCCTTTCCGATTCTGGCCTGTTTTGACATCATCTATTCCGACTGCCTGTAGTTGAAACGATGCTTCCTAGATAAGTGAAGGAAGTAAGCTCTGTTGAATCTTTCCCGTTGATGGTGATTGTTTCTGGTTGTTGTTGCTGTTCGTTGATAGGTCATCTTCATCACCTCCGTCTTCTCAATGTTCACCTGCAGTCCTGTCTTCGCTGGCTGCCTCTTTAGCTAGTTTGTTGGTTTTCACCTGCATGTCTTGGAGCTTACGTGACACTATGCATATATCATCTGCGAAATTCAGATCTTTTAGAGTCTACTTGTCGATGGTGCAGTATTTTCCAGTCTTTCCACTCTCACGTACAGTCTGACGCATAACCCAGTCCATCACAATTAAGAAGAAACTTCTCCATCCCAATCTTCTACACTAGGTAAAATTCCAAGTTCAGTTGTTATCAATATTTTGCTGTTAATACTATTTTTATGCATTTTTACATGACATTTAGTGTCAACATTTTCTTAATTAACATTCTATTTACTATTTTCGCCTAATACATAATTTATTTTCATATTTGTCTCCATACTCTTCATCAACACCCAATGTTGTCTGAACGTTATCATATCATGTAACTAACCTTTACCCTATCTCCCTTTAATTTTGATTATTGATCACAGTTTTGAAATATTCTGATAATGTACACAATAGCCCAAACTAGTTTTTACTCTTGTACTATGTACACAAACATACAGAGATAATTACACATAATTCGAATTGTACTGCTAAGTGAATGAATTCGCCGGGGAAAAAGATTCTTCTCTGGACTGTTTGTTCATATTTCTAAGTCTGGATGGGTGTTTTTCATGAATTAAAACCACCTTTAACCTGCTGAATACTTTAAAATGATTAAAGAAAATAGTTTACTGTTCAAATGTTCACAAATAAACACGACAAAATGTATGTGAAAAGGTGAAAACTCACGTCGTCCACATATAAAACCACGATATGGTGTTAGTCCACATTCACAAAGATAATGTGAATAGTGTTCAACACATTCACCTCTATTTAAGCATGGATTTGTATCACATTTCGGTTTACAACCAGCACTTAAACCATAAGTGAAAACACCACGCTCAACTAAACCACGCATATCTTGTACAACACCGTTGATTAATAGATTTGATAAACAGCCAACATAACCATCTGTAAAAGCCTGTGTGCATCAAAAAATAACAAATAAATAAACTCCTAATCAAAGAAAGACTTTTTCAACAGAGGTATGCATGGATTAATAGCTACACACTTCAGAAATCTAGGAAGAACAGTGATCTCTAGCGGATAATTCCTGAAAACATAAATATCTTGAGTAAAGTTGTCCAACTGGAAAGGTTAGTGTTAGGAAGAGGCAAAACATGCAATTATCAGGTCATCAGTCAAGTTATTATCGCGTTATTAACAAGTCGTTGACATGCAATTGTTCCTGCTTCTGATTGGACGCTTGCACAATTCAAACTCTCAACCGGATTGGTTGATTTTCAGTCTACCTTATTTTCTGTATAAATACAATCAATTTTGTCATAATAAATGAACCTGGTTTTACAGTTGATTCTCTTCGTGTTCTGCTTTACCAGTTAAGTGGGCGCTGGTCAATAGTTAAGCAGTGACCGCGTGACAAAGGATCCAGCATCATAACAGTTAGTTACAACATCTGCTTAAGAAAAGACTTCCAAGTATTAGGTTGTAGGGATTTTAATATTCTGGGTTGGATCTATGATGAGGTCATGGGTTCAATGTGATGAAGAGTCCTATGACCGGTGCCCACTGATTTTTAGTCTTTCTCCTAACTAAGCGTTCCTGTATGCAGGATTGTAACAGTGTGAAAAGTCCCTCCTGAACAACCCAATTACAATATTAATGCTAATTTGGATGTTTCAACTTACTTGGTAATTATTACCCTCTTTTCTTTCAGGCTAGATGTTATTGTTCTAGCGTTTGCATATCACCAATTGACCTGATCCTTATTGCTTGTCTTTATTCTTGTATTATTCCTTATTTAAATGCTTCTCTTTGCGGTCGCATAACGTGTTGCTTTACGATTATGACTTAGTTTGAATGAATTTAGGGTTAGCCGTAGGGATTTTTACCTTCGGTTGTCTGAGAGAAGCACTTAGTGTGCTTGATTTTTACCGAAAGAGTTTTGATCCCACCTTGTTGGGAATATTCTACTTGGTTCTCAGGTACTTCTTATAGTCGAAATTTGGTTGACTAATTTTGTTCTACAGTACTTATTTTTTACGGGTAAACTGCCTGATCTGTGTGGCAGCCTAGTGGCATCGTTGAGGTAATTTTGACATTTTGATTTGTTTTTGCTAAATAGTACCACAGTTTTTATGACAAAAAATGTATTTTTACAGGATTTTCATCATGAGCTGACATTAGTTAGAGAAGCATTGGAAAACCTGGGGATACTGGACAGCTGTTTCGTCCTAGTTTGGGACTCTTCATCAGTACGCACCCACCGCGATTCGAACCCAGGACTTTCTGGTTACAAGGGGAGCTCGTATACCATTAAGCCACTGGGACCCGATCCAATGGCCCATGAATTCTAACTTCTGCCAATTCACGACATAGCGCGACCCCTAGCCAATGTCTTCGGCGAGTATTTGTCTTCACACCCGACCTACTGCACCCTACTGCTGAAGAGCTTCACACTAGGACGAAACAGCTGTCCAGTACTCCCAGGTTTTCCAATGCTTCTCTAACGAATGTCAGCTCATGATGAAAATCCTGTAACCAATCAAATCCCTACAAACCAACACTTGAATTGTATTTTTGTTGGCGTTGCTGTACTTTAAGACTGTGAGTAACTCAAGGACATTTTGGTTAACTGTACATTTGAATGTGGAGATGGATTTCCAGCGTTTACACCAATACACGTCAATTTTGGTTGTTACAAGGATTTACTTCCCATTCTCTATTAAATCATAAATTGTAACGCATTCCACTTAATTTACCCCTATCTTATCAGGTTCTGTTAGTCAGCTGTTTTCATTCATGGATGTGTATTGAGTGATAAATCTGGTTACACACATCTTTACAGAGAACTCTAAACTTGTCCTTCCATCCATCTGTAAACAGATGACTTATTCTATAGACACCTATCATGCTGGATTTTCATATATTTGCCTCCCCCCCTGTTTTATTGCAGTCTACAATATGTGATACCATCTCTGCCTAAGTAAAAACTTGTGTCCTTAAATTACTAATATTTTTGAGTATTTCAAGATATCTGTAACTAGACAGAAATGACTTCGTGTTATTAAGGAATTCCAGTTACAACTGTTGCAGGCCTGCTTGAATCACTGAACTACCTGAATTTCTATCCAACATAATGCACGATATTTTCTCTAATTCCTTACTGTTTTGACTATTTAGTTAAGTTCTTGAGTCACAAATTGTACCCTCGCACATTTTCAAATGGCTTTCGGAGTGTCAGTTTGCATTTCTGGGAGACTACGGAAAAATATCATACCGGTGTGGTCTATGCTTTAGATTGAACAGTACTACGTTAGATGATATAAACAGTAGATTGCCATTTCAGCTGAAGATCCAGAGTTGGGAGAAGATATTAGAGAGTAAATTGCACTGAGAATTCTGCACATTATGTAGACATTTTCTCCAGAATAAAGCTGATGTTATTACATCGTCATATTCTGCAAGTGAATTAATTTATCTGTTTTGATGCTACGAGAATGAGTTGAAAGTGAACTATAACAGATCCTTAATCTTCTGCATCATTCACCAACTGATTTCTACTGGAACAACGCCATTTTCACAGAAGCTTACATCTAAAAGAGCTAGTTTGTAGGGATTTGGTGTGTTTCAAGTTTGGTCACAATTTGATATCATTTAGAGAGCGACTGGAAAACCAAAGAGTACTGGAAAGCTGTCTCATCCTAGTTTGGCACTCACAGGTAGAACGCACCAGCCAGGATTCAAACCCAGGACCTTCCGGTGAGAAGTCATGACCAGTGAGATGCAACATGTCGGGAGGGTGAAAAAATACTCGCTAATAACATTGGCTGGTGATCGAGCTAAAATCACAAATTGATAGACGTTAGGATTCATAATGTGCGTCGGTGATGCAGAGGTAGAATACTCGCCGACCACGCCACACGTGGTTCAGGGTCGATCCTCGGCCATAGACGTACTCCTTTACCTCGCTAAGACAGTAATAGGTCTGGTAAAGAGGGAAAGTTGGACATGAGGCTAGCAACCCCATTCCGTAAAAATAAACACCAATGCTATCGAAACTTCAAGCCTACATCTTACAGCCCTATGTTCCATTGGGAACGTGAAAGAATTATAGTAATAATAATAGAATAATAGAATTCATGAGCAAGCCATTGGGTTGTGTCCCAGTGGTTGGATGATCTACGAGCTTGACATGTAACCGGAAGGTCCTGGGTTCAAACCCTGGTGGATTTTTAGTACTGAAAACTCCGAAATAGGATGAAACAGCTGTCCAGTATTCCAGTGCCGGTTTTCAGTGGTTCTCTAACTGATATCAGCTCGTGGTCAAAATTAAAGCTTACATCTACCAAAAAAAGAACCAGGTTCGGAAAGTAGAATAAATGACTTATTATAATACATGTACATACCTGAGTTGTACCAACATAAAGAGGTTGATCAAAATCAAATCCTTGAAATGAACGTTGTGATGATTCAATGATAACAGATGGTTCTTGTGTATCTACAATTAAACGTGTTTCTTTACGATTACGTTCAAAGCGTACTACATGCCATCGATTATCATTAAGCCAATGTGCTGTTATAACTTCTGTCAACTGAATTCCATTGCCAACATTGAAAGCAACACGTAATGCATTTCCGTCTAGGGGGATAAAAGAAAACTTGTACAAAATAAGGGCAAAATGATAACTTATAACTCAAGCAAACAAGAGATGAGCTGCGAAACTTGGGTATCGTTAATGATAATAATGTGCGTCGGTGGCATGGCAGTAGAATGCTCATCGACCACGCATGTGGTCCGGGGTTTGATTCCCGGCCATGGACGTACTCCTTTACCTCGCTAGGCCAGTAGCAAGACTGGCAAAGAGGGGAGGTTGGACATGAGGCTAGCAACCCTATTCCGTAAAAATAAACACCACTGCTACCGAAAGTTTAAGCCTCCAGCTTGAAGCCCTATTTTCCACCGGGAAAGTAAAGGAATTAAAATAATAATAATAATAGCTCTATTCTGGAAAGTGATTATATAAGGTACAGAAACTTCGGCGGAGTTTATTTTCTCTTCGTCCAGGAACTCCAAGTAAAATATTAATTGACAGTAGATCGCATGACACAATGCTGTCTAACCTGAAGCGCAAGCGAATCCATTATGGTGTTTCTTCTTTGTCTCTTTCAAGAAAAGCACGCAATTTGGTTGAAAGCCAGTTACAAAAAGTTCAGGAGTAGATTTTGAGACCCAACGATATCATTCAGAAACAGTTCTCTTATCTCTTGGAATTCATTGCCACCGAGGATGATGCCTTTCCTCAATTTTAGTAGAAACTTACAAATCAGCAGGTTGTAAACATTTTAAATGCTCGGAATGGTAAATAATACCATTGAAGGTCATACTTTAATTGATTAAAACGAAATGAGTTTGTTTGTAGGGATCCGATTTGTTTCATTTGAAGAACTACTGAAAACCAGAGAGTACTCAGCATCTGTTTCGCCCTAGTTTGGAATTCATTGGCAGGTCTTGAGCCCAGGACCTTCCGGCAATCAGGCAAGCTCGTAGACCATTCAGCCACCGGGATCCGACTCAGCGGCCTATGAATTCTAACTTTCACCAACTCGTGATTTTAGTGTGATGAGTCCCGGACTAGGACGAAACAACTGCCTAATCCTCCATGCTTGTTTTCAAAGTTTCTTTAACTGATATCAATCCGTGATCAAACCTTAAACAAAACGAACAGGAGAAATCATTTACAGTATAGTGATGGAGATTTTCGGCAGCCCAAGTTTTAAGCAGGCCGCCAGTTATTTCATGAGCACGAAGCTAACCAAAAGATGTAAGAATACATGTTTCATTCAGTGCTAATACCTGTAAATCAACAGAAATTACTCCGTGCAAATTCTGTTGAAAATTCAAAGCTTATCATAATAACAAAACTTTGCTTACTTCGAATACGAACTTCAAAGAATTGTTTTGATACGCGTCCATTGTTTTGCATAATAACAGCATCCGTGATAGTTGTTCTAAATATAAATGACATATCAAATGCAAATTCTGAATATAATGGTGGTAATTCAAGATTTGCATCCACCTTTCGAAAAGTGACAGTATTATCAAATAACTTATCACCATAACAACGCAGTGGTCCAACTCGATAGGCTGCACGTTTATTATCATTGATTCCACCGGTATCACCAAATCGAACTTCCATAACTGGTAAATGATCCTAAGATAGTAGAAGGAAGGGAGAGAGGGTAAAGAAACTGGAATTAATTTTTATTTATTAGGCATATGTTAATACACTATCATTTTGTACCGATATACAATTATATCTCACTGTATAAATTCACAAGGCTAACAAGAATCCATCATAAACGTTTCATTCTTTTTTCGAATCGTTAAGCGTATCTAAGTGGAATCCAGTACGGGGAGATTTATATTCTAGCAGAGACTGGTCACTCTACTTCAATGAAGTAAAAAACTACAAATCAGAAAATTTAATATTATTAGATTAATAACAGTTTAGTGCAGTATTTTTTAAATTTTCCGATAATAAAAGAAATATACAGTACTCTCATTAAAAATGACAGTTCAGAGTACCCAGATTCTAGATGCCTCGAACTCTGATGTCCCCTGATTTCTTGAAATGCTTTTAATCTGTGGGCTTTCATTCCATAATATAATTACTACCAAAAGATACAAGATGCCTACATGTTTTGTTAAGACTTCTCTACAACTTGTGTCATCTGATATTACTACTCTGTTCATGAGTGTGGAACGATTGATTTTAAGAGTGTATAATTATTATTATTATTCGTCCCTTGGGTTCCGTTTTGCCTACGATCTTTTTTAGCCGGCTCTCCGATTGCCTATAAGCTTTCATTCCCTACTCACACGACCTCCTTCTTGTCCTACTTGAACGTCCAGCTCGTCCTTTCTTTTTCGGGTCCCACTTAAGAGCCTGACTTGCTTATGATGCTGATCAAAGGGCTTTCCATTGTATGTCCAGTTCATCTACATTCCCTTCTGCATAGCTGCCGGGCAACAGGTTCATGATTTATTCACCACCAGGGTTCCTTTCTAATCAATTATCTCATCTTAAGTATACAGCGATGGCAACTGTTGATGAAAGTCCGCAGCAGACTGCTGGAAATGCTTATCACGATGCAGGTGCCAAGTCTCTGAACTATATAATATCACTAATCCAACATTATTGCTTAAAATTCGGATCCCCTTCCTTGTGGTGAGTGTTGTAGATCTCCACACTACACTGACTTCAGAGTAATGAACGCCTGTCTTGCCTCCCCGAACCGATATTAGCAGGCTTCGACATTCTGATGCATGCCACGTGTAGTTAGAACAATACTGCCCAGTTCCATCCGGCAAATGGAAGAAATGTCTTTTTTAGACTTCTGCTGTTGATGGTGACTGGTGTGGGTGGTTGGGTGTCCTCATCATCTTTGTCTTCTCTATGCTGTTCACGTAAAGTCCTGTTTTATCTGCCTTTTCTGTCGACTTCTTGGTTCTCACCTGTAAATCTTTAGGTTTATGTGATGTGAGACAGTAATCGTCCGCCAAATCCAGATCTTTCACAGTGTAGAGGTTAACCTCAGGTTAAGTCAAACTGAGTCTAACTAAAAAGCATTACACGGTTACATTCAAAAGTCAAAGAAAAAAATCAATGCACCTCAATTGAGCAGTGTTACTAATTTCTTTGTAAAATGACCATCAATCAATCAATCAAAATTCATGCCTTGTTTGACAATTGGTTACTCACCTTAAATTGTAATAATCCTGTGTCAACTAACGGTGGAGTTGCTGATCCATCACTGTCACAATTACAAGTTAACGAATCTCCTGTACATGTTCCCTCGACGCCACATGCACATTTTTGTAAACCTGGTACTCCCCCGCCCCAATAAAACTGTGGTCTGCCTTCTTGACTAACCCACCATCCCCAAGCACGATTTTCATAAGTTGTTCCACCTAAAATAATTTTTGTTTAAAGTTAAACAAAATGATTCTTATCAACTAGAACAAGTGAATGTAAAACAAGTTGTTGTCATGGTAATTATTTGACAGTTTAAAAACAGGAGAATGAAGATTACTGTCTATTTTAAAAAGTGTCATTCTTGCCTTCCTTACTGGTGTGTTAATAAAACTAACACTCATATAATACGAATAAAGCAAAAACAATACCTCGTACAGAATAAGGTGGTACCATCGTTTATTTCATTGGTTACTCATCAGCTGCGGACAGCTCAAAGAAATCAATAAAAATTTATTTACAGAACAGTTTTAACATATGATGTCAGTTGACAGGACACGCCCAACTTAATAAACAGCGCCTATAAAATTATACTTATATCGTTTAAACCTTGAAAGTTCTAGTTTAGACATAAATAAATACCTGCACACAATGGTAAATTAGTTACGCAATAAAGACAAGAGGTGCATAAGATGATAAGTGACTAATCGATTACACATCTGCTTTTGACTCAGTACTTATGGATATTTTGTCAAATTAGCTTACTGAAACTCAAACTGAGTGTTGGGTTGTAAACTGGCTGCATTCTTATTTCTCAGAAAGGGAAGGTCGTCCACTTTATTGCCTACTGAGGCTAGCATCTCTCAAGGTGCTGCTCTTTCTCCTTTTCTCTTTTCTTTCTTCTTGCATGACTTGCCTCACTCTGATGAAAAGGACTTATTTAAGTATGCAGATGACTTAACTATTTCAATGCCTGTCAACTTCCAGTTAAACTGTACTAAGATGAACAGTTTTCTATCAGGAGTCAGCAAATGGTCATTGTCTAATAGTCTTAGACCTAATCCTTCCAAATGTCACAGTGTTCATTTCAGTTTCCGATGTAAAAGAAATTTAAATCAAGCTTTTAATTCCTATGACCGTTGTAAAATTGATGGTAGTGATATAGAAATCAAGTTTGACGTTAAGTACCTTGGACTAATGCCTTCTTCTGATCTATCCTGTTCTTCCCACATCTTGGGGATTTCTAGAAAAATATTTCATCTGACATTTTACATTACGAAATTAAGGCAGTCGAGCATAACTCAACCCCCTGCCCATTCATCTTACACTTTGTTAACTCTTGCATTTTACCCATTTTTCTTTATTTTTCATCCTTGATCTTTCCTGGGTTGCTCAAAAAAGACCATGTCACTCCGTAGAACTCTGAAGATTGTCAGTAGGGCGAATGGCAGTATATCATGGGGCCACATCATTGACATCATCATTGATAGATACTTGATTTCATGCAACAAATTCGCTAGAGGGTTTTCCAATAGTTCTCTAACGGATGTTGGCTCGTGGTGAAATCCTGTTACCATTGTTCACTCGCCAGCAGAACAAATTACGTCTCTAAATTAATTTAGGCCCTGTGAAACGGGGAGATTGTTTGGAAGATCCTTCCTCGATGATCTAATTACAATATTTATACTTATTTCGATGTTTCAACTAACTTCGCTCCTAGACTGTATATCATTGTCCTGACATGTGCATACCACGAGTTGATTATCTGTCTTTCTCCCCGTTTAATCTCTAATCCTAATGCTTTTGTTTGTGGTTGTATACACTGATAATGTTTTGTTTTAAGTTGTGATTTTGTTTGAGTGAATCAAAGGCGTTTGACCTTGGACTGTCTGCCGGGGGTTCGATTTATGATTCTTGTGGACAGAGTTTTTGATTCCACCTTCTTCAGGCATATTCTGCTTAATTCTAAGTGCTTTTTTATACTTAGAAAATAACCTTGACTGTATATCTGCTTTACGGTACCGTTGAGGTAATTAAGAGTTTTTGATGTAACTGCTACTGAATAGAACCACAGATTTACCGAATAATCATCTTTTTTGCTATCTTTGGAGCGTTCTGTGAATGCATGTGTCTCAAAGAATTCTTTTCAGCTATAAAGCGGGATAAGGATACCAGTTTCCTGTACTCGAAGCACAAAAAGTCGGTTTTGGTCGTAACAGTCTGTACATATAAAAAACTTTTCTAACTCTCATCCGATCATCATAAAAGTCAATAATGACTGCAAGAAATATATAATTGTCACGGTGACAAAATAAACGGCTCTTCATGGCTTAAAAATAGCTTTTTTCACTGGTCAAAACCATCTAACTAACTTTCAAAAGTCATCGAGTACTGGAAAGCTCTTTCGTTGTAGTTGCGGAGATTAGAAGTATGCACCCACACTGGTTCGACAGGAATCGAGTCTGTTTCAGTTGTATTAGCAGGTGAATGCGTTACAGCCCAACTAATGAAGCAGAATGAAAAACCCCATAAATTCTGTCTTCTGTTATTTTCGGTTGTATTATTTCACCAATATCTTTTGTTATCCTTACAAGTTCTCACAACTCAAATGGAGTTCCCCATGTTTATTACACTATTATTATTATTCCTTTGGATTCCGACCGGAATATAGGGCTTCAACGGCACATCCCCACACATTTCATCCTCCTCGTTGAAATTTTCTTTAGCTAGCCCTACGATTAACCAGAGGCTCTTATCTCCTCTTCATACGACCTCCTCCACGTTACCCTCGAAAACACAAAAAACCCGTTGTTCCTCAACCCGGTTTCCACTCAAGCGATGGCATGAATTGTGCGCGATATCACTTAACAGTTTTCTCAGCAGCATGTGTTCGATTCATCTTCATTTTCTTTGGAACTTTTCTTGAGCAATAGGTTCTTGATTGGCTCGTCTCACTGCAGAGTTTCTTGTTGTTAATCCTTTAAGGCCATTTGAACTTCAGTATGCAGCAAAGTCAGCAGCAGACTGTTGGAAATAATTTTCGTGACACACTGGCCACGTTTCATACCCCTTTAAAAGAAATGACTTAAAAGTCGTGTTGAAAATGTGAATTTCATTGTCGATACTGAGTGCAGCAGATTTCCGAACTGGGGTGTACCTCATGGGTCATGTCTTTTGTAAAATATATATATACATATATATATTGCTGGTATTAGATGGTTGGAGGCAATCGTCAGGAAGCTTGATAGAATCCAGTCTGCACCGAAGATTGGACTAGACGCATTACACTAGTTGCTGACTAAAATCTAATCAAAAATATCCAATACAGACCTATAGGTGGTTAACTGTGAGTCTGAATAGCTCAGTGGTAATGTCTCTGACTGAAGGCGGCACTGGGTGACGCCGGTTCGAATCTCAGAAGGGGCAGGAGTTCCTCCGGAGTTGCAGATACGCCTTGCTGACTGGTGAGTGACAACTAGCACGAAACCTAGGTCCAAGGCTTCCTTCCGATTGCCTCCAACCATTTAATACCAACAGTTCACAGTGAACCGTGATGGCGAATCACCTAGCATGGTGGCCACATTGCAAGCTTGACTGATACAATTCAGTCTGCACCAAAGATACGACTAAATACATTACACTAGTTGCTGACTAGTGTCCAGTCAAATATATATATATATATATTGGAAAAGAGAAATTTAAAATCTCAGCTAACCTCCGGCAGGCAATTGAAGAAGTTTCGCATTCCAACACTGATAAGTAAGCGATTGATCACACTCAACCGCTCGTCGTACCAGTTCCCCTAGCGTATCTCTGTCAGCGCGTCCATAATTTAATTTACGTCTGTATGAACCAGGAGCTTGATAACCATCAACTATAATATCACCAGGAGCATCATGATTTAACAGTGTCATAACTGTGTTCTGATCTGAAAATGTAAAATCCACATAGTTCAAAATTTATCACAGAAACATCCATATTATTATTATAAATAAACAGTTCTAAGTAAGATTAGTTTCCTGTGATAAACAGTTCATCATAAATACTAGATAAATATAAGACCGTGTGGAAAGCTGGAAACAGACCTTATGTCACATTCATCAATCATAAAACTGTAATATGACAGAAGTCTCAAAATAACACTCTAAAGTTATGGAGGGGTAGAGAGAGAATGTGTATATATCACTGTACTATTCAATAAAAAGTTGTTTCCCTTTCAAGTCGGCGTCAGTAATATCGTCTAGATGAACACTTAAGGTTTCTCAATAAGACTATCCAGTTTAGAGAAGACGAAAAGTATTGATCTCAGCCACAAATAGATACCATTTACTGTCAAGTATTGGTTTTGTAGGGATTGTGTTTGATTGGTTGAGGGCTTTGAGCATGAGCTGACATCATTCAGAGAACCATTGGAAAACCTGCATGGATTACTGGAGAGCTATTTTGCCAACCCAATTTGGGACTGTTTCGCAGTAGACATCCACCAACTGGGTTCGAACCATCGACCTTCAACCAATCAAACAGAATTTCCTAAAAAAACCAATACTTGACAATTAATCTAATGCTCACTAACGACTGGCTCTATTCACGCTGTTAACCTGAACTTCTGGTGGGAAGCCGTGACCAGTAGGGTACACCAGGTTGAAGTTGAGGCAGTAACTCATCGAAGAAGACATTGGCGAGTGGTCGCGCTATGTCATGAATTGGCAGAAGTTAGAATTCATGGACTGGCTGGCCAATGGATCGGTTCAGGTTCCAGTGGTTTCTGAATGGTCTAAGAGCTGGCTTGCCTTGTAACCAGAAGGTCCTGTGTTCGTATGCCGTCGATGGGTGCGTACATATGAAGAGTCTCAAACTATACTGACGATAAAACTGCCTGTCCAGTACTCCCTGCAGGTCTTTCAATGGTTCTTTAACTGATATCAGCACAGGATGATGTCATTTATGTTTCGATCCTCATAATGGTACATTTACCTTCAGGCCTTATATGTGAGATTCTTTTATGAAGTTGTTCTAACATTAGACAAATGCAAAGATCCAACAGCCTACTTTAATCATTAGGCTACCTAAATCTTCATCCAGCATTCGTGTATAAACTCTTCTTCACTTCGTTTTCTTTTAATCGTCCGTGTTTTTGGATCACTATATTAAACTCGCACACAGTTTTAGTTTGCTATAATTCAGGACATTTCTCAACAGAATTGAAGGAAATGAAGAAATCGTGGCGTTTTAGATATTGCTTCATATGGAACATACTATATACTATAGAGGACGAAGAGTGAATACTTTGCAATTGAAATTCTCTGAGAATTCTGCACTATGTGTTGACATATTGGCTAGAATAAAGTTATTATTGTCGTGAGAGCTGGCTGCTAGCCAAAGTTGGTAGACAGTAATTGACGTCACTGTTTATGTTGCCATTATTGGTGGTGAGAAAATGAGAAAAAAGGCTTTGCGTAGGCGGATACAGTTAGCATATGGATGATCTGACACAGCCGCAAAGAGATGCAAGGTTAACTTTCTGTGAGAAACGACCAATCAGAAGACTGTATCTTCTACTAACAATAATCTACAATAATGTACATTAAAATCGATAAATATATGTTGATTTTCCTTAATAAACGATCTGTTACCTGGCCCTTGTCTTCTGTTGTTACATTTGGTGTCGCTGCCTACTGACAAATGGAAAGCCTATGCCCTGCAGTTTTTGATGGAGACATATGGATCTTCGGGCAGGACTTCGAGGCTTCCTCGCAGTTGAGTGGCGTTCAAGATCTGTCAGCGATGAGGCTGCTACTTGGGACGCTGCTGGGAGGTCGGGAAAAAGCAGCATATGAAAGTGTGAGGCTAAATACCTACGAATGTGCGACAGGGTCAGGCAAACAGTGTCCATAGTAGGAAGGACCACATATGGTCACGTTGAGATGGGGTTACGCAGACACAATCGCAATGGTAAACACAGAGAAACAGGTGAACATCCGCAAGCGCTGAGATTCCAGACAGCAAGACAAAAGAGCAAAACCCCAAGAACCCAGTCGCAAGTCTTTGACGAGGGGACGAGTGTGGTGAGAGCTGGCTGCTAGCCAAAGTTGGTGGACAGTAATTGATGTCAATGTTTATTTCCCCAATATTGGTGGTGATAAAGTGAGAACAAAGGCTTTGCGTAGGCGTAATAAAGTTATTATGATTATTAATAGTTAAGAAAACCAGAGCAGATTAGTAGTGAACAGCTTTTCTCAAATTCAATTTTTTCCGAAAATAGATTTTCATGAATTAACTTCTGATAGTGTTTAATAACTAAGATCGCCTCACAGTATTAGACATGCTTATAAGCCCTTCGGATACAGTATCATGAATGAACTAGAATTCAGACAGACTTATTCCAATGCGATTAAGAATAAATAGCCTAGCAAAATACCGTACACTACCATCACAAAATTCATGCTGAACCACATCGATTAGTGAAGCGCCACTCGAAAAATCCTTCAAAACGATATAAACCTATTAAAGGGAGTAAAGTTAAGACATCTGGGTATAGCCAAAGCACCAGACATCCAAAAGCTCAAACCCACGCTATGTATCCAAAAGAAATACGTTCAACCGCTGTCTCTGATATGGTCATCATAAACAGGTAATTCTTTCTGTAATAACCATCCAATCGCCTTTCCTATCCAAACTTCCTGTTTATTCATGTTATTTCTAAGTTTTTCTTAGTCCCTATTTACGCTACCATATTTTCAAATGCGGACTTCCTGTCTATTTTGTCATTTTATTATTTCTACATATTTAATCCCTGACTGCATATACAATTATTCCTCACATTATTTGTGATCCCACTAGATATTTTATCCAAACATCCTGTCTGTTTTTGTTATTTCTACATTTCTAACCCCCAATTGCACAACATGTCAATCTTCTTAGTAATTATGATGCTTTGTTTGAGTTTTATCCGTCCCCCTGTTTATTATGACATTTTAATTTCTGATAGTAATTTTAGTAACTTGACCCTTGACCGGAAGTTATTCTGGAACTTTATCTCCCATATACTATAAATACACGAATGTACAGCCTAGTTGGTGCTGAATTCGTCGAAAATAAAATTTTCTTCTTCTTCTTTTTAAAAATTAAAACCGATTTGAAAATGTTCGCTAAAGAGAAATCTTCTGAAGAATGAAAACGATTACTCACTGAAATAGTGTCACAGCTAATACATTCAACGTCTTTGACAAAAATGTCATTCAGTTTCATCTGGTAAACCAAATTTTACTATTGATGTAATCTTGTTTCTGATTGTATGGTTTAACCAGAACAATAGAGCGGCTTTTGGAAAAGCGTTTGGGTAAAGACTGTGTAATTAAAATTGTGTCACTAACTCTAACTGTTTTTTAACCAGACATTCCAACAACCTCCTAGCACGAATCATGCTAAATTGAATGTGTGAATTCTGAAAATATTAAGCTTAATCACATCGAAAATACACAGCAGAATTGGATGACCCAGGTTAAAACCTGAGAGGAGATATGAGTTCCTTTAAGATTGAAAAAGTACACGCCTTAATGAGTGATTATTACCAACAACCATGAAACCTAGGCCAAGCGAAGCTTCCTGCCGATTGCCTCCAACCATCTGATAACAATAATTCAGAGTACAGTGTGATGACGAGTCACCTAGCATGGTGATCACATTTGCGAACTTGACTGATAGAATCCAGTCTGTAGCAAAATCAAGAACTAGACAAATGGACATATTGATTAATAGCCAGTGACCAATCAAAAAGTAAAAGACAAAAATTTTAAAAAATGAAAAAGTTAGGCTTTTAGAAACAGTCCACTCTTCAAAGAAAAGTGACAAAGGTATTCGTTAAGGTGATAGTGGAATATTTCTCTCCAGGACGCTTATCTTCCTACACCTCACGGGGTCTAGAGTCCGATCCCCGGCCGGCTCTCTCTTAAACCTCGTTAAGCCTGTAGTAAGGCCGGTGGAAAGGGAAGGTTGGAGGACGTGAGACTAGCCACCTCCCTCCCCACGTAAAATGACACCACTACTACCGAAACTTCAAAGCTCTAGCTTGGAGCCCTGTGTTCCACTCGGAAAGTTTTTTTTCCTTCACGTTCCTCAGTGGAACATAGGGCTTCAAGCTAGAGGCTTGAAGTTTCAGTAGCAGTCAAGATTATTTTTACAGGATGGGGTTGCTAGCCTCATGCCCAACCTTTCCTCTTTACCAGCTTTTATTTCTGTTTTAGCCAGGTAAAGGAGTGCGCCGGCCGGGGATCGAACCCCGGACCATGTGCATGGTTGGCGGGCGTCCTAACCGCTATGCCACCGACGCACACACCCGGAAAGTAAAGGAATAAAATAAATAAATAACTTAAAACCCTTGTGTAATTCTATATATTATTTTGTTTCCATGCACAACCTTTGAGTACAACTCATTCATCAAACTATTCATACCATTACGTAACTCTTATTTAACAATCATTTATGACAACTCATCATTTTTGTTACTACCCTCTTATATGAACATCCAATTCACCTAAACTTACTCCTCTTTAGCAATCGTTTTGACAACTCATCACTTTTGTTGCTATCCTCTTATCAACATCCAATTCATTTGAACTTACTAACCGTATTTTGTTTTGACAAATTTAATGTATACACACACACACAAAATAACCAAATATATTTGCGATTGTACAGCTTTGAAAATGAATTCGCCGAAAAGAGACTCTTTGCTGAACTACTTGTCTTTTGTCTACTAATGTCCGAATGGGAATTATTCATGAAATAAAATAAATCGACAGATAATATTAGTGATTGTTTTTAATTTCAAAAAATACTTATCTTCTTATCTTACATCATGATCAAATAGTCGTTTTCCTACCTGTAAAATCACATGTCACCTCAATAGGCTTTAATACACCAGATCCATCCATATCAATAGTGATGTTAATTGTCGACTGTTGAAGAGAATAAAACAGTCCAGCTTCTGAACATGATGTGAAATATTCACTTTGATGGCATACAGCTCCTGCATAACCAGTGTTTGTACAATCACAGTAAAAGGTGGCACCAGTCTGTGAACATGGAGCATCATGTTTACATGGATTTGGATTGCATCGATCTTGTATCATACAACTTCCATTAATAATACTTCGATGACGAGCTGATGGATCTAATTTATCCCATTCCACATCAATTCCATTGATACGTATCTGTCGTAGACAACCTTGAAATGAATAACGTTGCGGTCGACCACCACCAATATATGAGACTTTATCGAAATACAACTGCAAAAGAACAGTAAAGTCAACAGACATAAATAAGAAAATAGATATTCGAAGATGTCTGAACTATACTTTATTTCAAAATAGATTTCGTCATGAAACAACATCATTTATTGATTACAGGATTTTCATCATGAGCTGACATTAGTTAGAGAACCATTGGAAAACCTTAGAGTACTGGACAGCTGTTTCGTCCTAGTTTGGGACTCTTCATCAGCACGCACCCACTGGGATGCGGGATGAAGAGTCCCAAACTAGGACGAAACACCTGTCCAGTACTCCCAGGTTTTCCAATGGTTCTCTAACTAATGTCAGCTCATGATGAAAATCCTGTAACTAATCAAATCCCTACAAACCAACACTTGAATTTATTGATTGTTCGAGACTTTGGAAAGCTGGACTTCTGTTCCGTCCTAGTTGGGGACTCTGAAGCGATGAAATCCTTACTGGCGTATATCATTTTTTCTGTTTGAATCCCCATTACTCAGAAATTATTATAGGAAGACAGAAAGAAGGGAGTATATCTGGTTTTTGGAGCATATTCCAAGAAAAATATGTCTGAAAAGAAGCAGATACACGCAATGTGCAATTACCAGACACCATGTGCATACGAGTCACTTCGTCCAGATTTCCAAATCCTTCAAAATATTATTAAATATTACATAGGACAGCAGATTTACTACGATCTGCTGAAGTAATTGCAATTAAACGTTTCAAACCAAACTTACGCATACAGAAAGAGAGTGTAATCAACCTGTCACTCACTTTGGTAACTGCATTTTGATTACACTGATTAGTCAACGATATTAGGGATTTCAGCTCATTGAGCCAATTTGCAATAATCTGAACTATAACCTTCATGAGTTGCTATATGAAGCTGTAACACCACTATATTAAGCCTAACTGTACGCTTATAAAACTAATTGATGTACGCATGTTATACGCCTATGATGGTTGAATATTTGCCATTGTATTTGGATTGGACACTAGTAACTAGTGTGACGTGTCTAGTCCTTTCTTTGGTGCAGACTGAATTCCATAAGTCAGGCTTTGCAATGTGGCCACCATTCTAGGTAGCTCGCCATCATGGTGCACTGTGAATTGTTGGTATTAAATGGTTGGAGGCAATCGGAAGGAAGCCTTAGACCTAGGTTTCGTGCTAGTTGTCACTCACCAGTCAGCAAGGCGTATCTGCAACCTTGAAGGAACTCCTGTCCCTTCTGAGATTCGAGCCGCGTTACCCAGTGCCGCCTTTAGTCAGAGACGTTACCACTGAGCTATTCGGGCTCGCGATTGACCTCCTGTAGGACTGTACTGGTCCTAGGTCCTAGGTCTAGGGCTTCCTTCCGATTGCCTCCAACCATTTAATACCAACAATTCACAGTGCACCATGATGGCGAGCTACCTAGAATGGTGGCCACATTGCAAAGCCTGACTTATGGAATTCAGTCTGCACCAAAGAAAGGACTAGACACGTCACACTAGTTACTAGTGTCCAATCCAAATACCCACTACAGTCCTACAGGAGTTCAATCGCGAGCCCGAATAGCTCAGTGGTAACGTCTCTGACTGAAGGCGGCACTAGGTGACGCGGGTTCAAATCTCAGAAGGGACAGGAGTTCCTTCAAGGTTGCAGATACGCCTTGCTGACTGGTGAGTAACAACTAGCACGAAACCTAGGTCCAAGGCTTCCTGCCGATTGCCTCCAACTATCTAATATTTGCTATTGTATTATTGAATATTGATTCTCGTTTGTTGAACATATATTTTAAGCGGTTATGCACTTTCAACGTTCACCTCGAGCTTTTTGAAGTTCAATTTCGTTAACAATACGTCTTTTCAAGTTTTCACTTGTGCTTCTTAATACAACGTTGTTCGTCGTTGACCGTGTACAGTGTTAGTACATATTAGAACGTGAAAAATGTGGATGTACTATAACATAATAATCGGAGTCATCTTTAGTACGCCGAAAAGCTACGAACTGAGACTGTTAATTAGATTTTTTTATTTTCTCCTCTCCACACACCCCTTTTTTACCACATTGAAAGCATATAAATTGATGGTAACTTAAACTGATAATTATAATGCTAACATTTTGGATGCCTTAAATATCTTATAATGTTTTTTCTACTACTATTCAAACACAGAAGTATGTTAGGTTCACTTTTTATAACCACTGTGATTTCAGATAGTGGTCTTTAGTTAGCTGATGAGAACCTGTGAAATAGAAATGATGATACCAGTTTACACTGCAAATTCGGTCTTAAATTTATCAGAATTTGAGTATGAAATCACTACTTAGTATTACCATGGATCGCTTACTATGCAACTAAGGAGTTTCAGATGGTACATAAATTGTCAACTGAAAGCAATACTTCCATATTAGTTTGTTTATTAGATATATCACACAGTGAAACAGTATTATTTACTGGATGACGTTTCGAACAAAATTTGTTGCTCACAATCATATCAATTGTAATCACACGACTTTGACACTTGAGTTTTATAGTTTTCTTTGTTCTCTCCTATTTGTCGTCGTTGGGGTAGTAGAATTTTCCAGATATCGGGGACAGGTGATGAATCATTCTAATTACACGTATTTGCATTTGATTCGATAAACAAAGCTTCTGTTATCAATCTCTCCCTATACCCTGTGACATTAGATTTTAAAACTGTCATCCTATCCCATCCTATTGTATGGTTGTGTGTAACTGCATGTAGTGCTATAGCTAAACTATTCTCTAGATTTCTTATTTTATTCGGGTCAACCAATCTAGATTTTGCTAAGTTTTTATGTTCAGCTAGTCTGACTGCCCCTGTTCTACTAGTTTGACCTATGTATTTGACCTGACAATCATTCCAGCAGGGTACTAGATAAACTAAATTGTTTTGTTTTAAAGGCTCTATAGGATCCTTTAACCGACAAAGCTTGTTTCTAATTGAGTTTGTGGGTTTGAATGCCATTTTTATTCCTGCCTTGTTAAGAATTCTGCGTAAGGCTTCCGAGGTTCCTTCCTTGTATGGAATTACTACTGATGATTTAGATTCTTTATTGTTGGTGTCGTCATCAATATTATTATTATTGTCACTATTATCATTATCATTATTATTGTTATTATCACTATCGCTACTATCATTATTTTATTTTTACATTTCCTTACTTATTTCCTGACTAATTTATCCGGGTAATTATTAAGTTTCAAGGCTTCTTTTATATGTATCAGTTCCTGTTTTAGATTTTCTTCAGTACTACTTAATTTTTGTGCTCTGTCATTTAAACATTTCACCAATCCTATTTTTACTGACATAGAATGGGACGATCGGAAGTCTAAATATCTGTTTGAGTGTGTGGGTTTCCTGTAAACACTAGTGTTTAACTTCCCATCTTCTTTCCTCTTTACGTTGCAATCTAACATTGGCAGCTCCCCTTCCTGATTTTCCAATTCATAAGTGAATTGAATTGCTTCAACCTTCGAGTTGATGTGTTCGAAAAACCTACCTATATCCTGTGTTTTAAGTACAGTGAATGTGTCATCTACATACCTTCGCCATACTTTTGGGGTGGGGTTGAACGTTTCAATCGCTATTCTTTCCCACTTATCCATGAATATATCTGCCACAACTGGGGATATTGGTGATCTCATGGCAACTCCTTGAGTTTGTTTGTATATTTTCCCTTGAAATTTAAATACTGTGGAAGTCAGGCATAGCTGTAATCCCAGCATTATGTCCTCAAGTGGCACTTCTGTCCTAAGTTCGAGTTCTTGGTCAGAAATGAGTTCGTTTCTGACTGCCTCCATAGCCATATTTATTGGTGTCAAAGTCGTGTGATTGCAATTGATATGATTATGAACAATAAATTTTGTTCGAAACGTCATCCAGTAAATAATACTGTTTCACTGTGTGATATATCTAATAAACAAACTAATATTGAATTACTTACTACCACAGTGCCCAAGTTTTACACATATATTGAAAGCAATACTTATTATGAAATGTCATCTTTACGCTTGAAAAAGTGTAAAGAATAAGGATGAGGACACTAAAACCCGAATCGGAAAGGCAAAGAAGACCTTCAACACTGTGAAATCAGTTTGGAAATCTGCTCCGCTCATAATAAGAAACAAAATTCCGATTTTTAACTCCACTGTCAAGTCAGTTCTTTATGGATCAGAAACTTGGCGCACACGCGGGTCGTGAAACGCGTTTCGAACAGCCTACTGCAGATTTTTATCAGCAGCCGACTTCTCTGCATACTGAAGCTGAAACGGCCATAAAGGATTAGCAACAAGCAACTCTGGTAGCTGCGTTGGTGGCACAGCAGACGCTCACCGACCATGCACGTGGTTTGAAGTTCGATCCCCGGCCATGGACGCACTCCTTTACCTCGGTAGGCAAATAGTGAAAGTGGTACAGAGGGAAGGTCGGGCATGAGGCTAGCAACCCCTCCTGTAAAAATAAACACTGCTACAGAAACTTCAAGCCTCTAGCTTGAAGCCCTATGTTCCACTGGGAAAATGAAGGAATAAAAAACCTCTGGTAGCTAACCAATTAAGAACCTATTGATAAACAAGCGGAGGTGGATCGGACACACCCTGAGAAGACTGTCGGGCGACATCTCACGCCAAACCATTGCTGGAGTGGAGTCCGAATTGAAAACGATTAGTTGTTTGTGGGTCACAGGATGAAATAACAGAGATCTTTTGTAAAGGAGATGAGAGCCTTCAGGCAGTCGTTAGGTCAGCTTAAGAGAACAGCAGAAAACAGGAGAAAATGGGAGTGTGCTGTCGAGTCCCCCCAATGTTCCACTCGGAACCCAAATGAGTAATAGTAATAATAATAATAACATAACTTACCGGTAATGTCATATTTTGTACAGTAGTGTAGACAATGTTATCCACGGTAAGCTTCACTAAATTTTGTGACATACTGAATTTAACAGAATGCCATAAACCATCAGCAAATGTTCCATTACTGGCTGCAGAATCTTTATTCTGTATGGTATATTTAATAATATATACACCAGGCAGTATAATTTCCAAGGTTAAATGTCCAGTATGATCTTCCATGCCAAACTGTTTAAATAGAAATAAATTTCAGTGGAAAAATTTTTATGTAGATCTAACAGAAAAACTATTTTCATGACAAATTTATTTCAGAAATCCTCCAAATAATCAAACGAAATTTCTTACAAAACCAATACTTGACAATTAATCTGATGCTCACTAACGACTGGCTCTGGGGGGAAGCCGTGACCAGTAGGGTACACCAGCTTGAAGTTGAGGCAGTAACTCATCGAATAAGACATTGGTTAGTGGTCACGCTATGTCATGAATTGGCAGAAGTTTGAACTCATGGACTGGCTGGCCATTGGATTGAGTCAGGTGCCAGTGGTTTCTGAATGGTCTAAGAGCTGGCTTGCCTTGTAACCAGAAGGTCCTGTGATCGTACGCCGTCGATGGGTGCGTACAGATGAAAAGTCCCAAACTATACTGACGATAAAACTGGCTTTCCAGTACTCCCTGTTGGTTTTCCAGTGGTTCTCTAATCGATGTCAGCTCATGATGTAATCCTCCAAACAATTATTATTTCAGACACTTTCAAAAGATCATTTTAAACAGTTTCTTATAACTGATAGGCATAGTATTTCCCCTTCTTTGGAACTTGTCGAATTAGCTCAATTCCGACTTTTTCTAAAGTCAAAATCAGAGAATTCGAATCTTTCAGTGACATGCTGTTAATGCATGCAAATTATTTATAGAACTATGTTCATGTCATATTGTTGTAACAGCAGAAGGCAAGATAAGCAAGCCAAGGCATATTTTCAAGTGATCAAACAGCTATTTATATCTATACAGCTTTATATTCTGTAACCAATCATTGAGCGTGTGATTTTCGTTTACATTAAACGACATGAAATAGAATGTTCAAATAGATATACCGTATTCTGTTGCTAATACAGTATTGAACTGTGCGAATATATGAGAATAATATTCCGTTGGAACACACTATCTGTATCACACCACCACAATGTGTTAATATCATAACAGTGATGAAAATCCATAGTCAAACTTGACCATAAATGTCCACCATACTTAACTGATTTATTGGAACCCTGAAGTTTAATAGAATTTATTTAAGATAAAATGTGCTATTTAAAACAAGCAGCAATTGTGAAAAACAAGAGTATTCAATAAATTTATAAGTTTCGATAGAAGGACTCGTCATCTGAATACTCCTATACAGACATTTATTAAAATATAGAAAATATCCCCATTTAGACATTTAGAAAACAGAAAGATTGAGCAAAGAAATATTTACTTTTCAATTAGATCCTCATCTCTGGCTCTACTCTAATATACATAGCATTTTTATTACAATACACAACAGTTTACCAAACAGCGAAATCATAACACAGCGCCTGAAGAATGCAGTTAAAAGAGCTTACTATGCAGCAGAGGTACGTCGTCTCTTCACATCCACCCCTACTCTTTGTTCGAGAAATAAGGATAAACTACCTAATTTTGCCTCTTCTATGTGTGTCTACCAGTTTGACTGCAGCTGCGGAGCCAGCTACATTGGGCGTACAATTAGGCAGTTTCATCGTCGTATTTACGAACATCATCCAGGATGGTTAGGCAAGGGACAAACAAGTTCTATTCGTAGTTCTATTTTAGCACACCTTGTTGATAGTGAGCATAAGGTTGATGTGAATACTGCATTTAAAATTATTTATCGCATTCCTGCTAATCTTAATTTTGCTCTACGAGTTCGTCTTCTACAGACAGATGAAGCAATCGGAATCCACCAGAAGAAACCAAGCCTATGTGTACAGAAGAAATTTGTACAGCCACTTTCCTTACCGTGGCCATCATTACAAGAATGCATAAACAGGACTAGGTCGCCCCCCTCCCCCTAAACCTATTAAATTATAATTGTCCAAATTATTTTATTTTTATTTATTTTGACCACTTCATCTTTAATTACGTGTTATCCTTGTAAAATTAATTTATTCTAACCATTTCTACCTTTTAAATTTATTAAAATCATAATAATAATAACATGTTTGGAACTTCCAGAGGAATTTACTGCATGATATTTTTCTTTCCTACAATATTTTCATGTAAAGTATTAAATGACAGTAGATCCAGTGACACATTGGTCTCTGAGCTGAAGCATATCTGCTTTGTCTCCTTCAAGAAATCCACAATATCTAGTTGAAAGCCAATTGTAAGGTGTTCAGAAGTACATTTTAAGTTTTTAAGTAAATGAGTGAAGAACAGCTATCTCATGTATTGGGATACGTTGCGACCCACATTCAGGCCATTCCTCAAGTTTAGTAGGAATCTGCGAGTCAGAAGCTTGTAAACATTTTAAATATACATGAGAGTAGATAATACCATTAGAGGTCATATCTTAATTAACTAAAACAAACAAAACTAGAGGAAATATATGCAATATAGAAAGATGAAAGATTTTGGTAGCCCAAGTTTCAAGCAGGCCACCAACAGTCTTATTTATACAACTATTTTTGTTTAAGAGTAAATACAAACAAACACATGAACATTGTGACAACAGGTAAGGATCAATTTCAACAGGTACATGACCTACATTTGTTTGTGGGAGCAAATACATTGGGCATACGAGAAGATGTCTTTTGGCTAGCGTTGCTGAAAACTGTCCCAAACTGCTTTCTAGTACTCATAGTAGCATCACAAGGAGTTCAGTCACATCGTATTTATTCGACTGTGACCATACGGTAACACTGAGTGAAAGTTTTGTAGTTATCAGCAAGCACGGTTACAAAAAAGTTTTTGGTTTTACTGAAGGCTCCTCAGTTAAATTAACGCAGACGGATCTATGTATACAACTGGAGACAGTATTTAGTTTAAATCTGTTTTGATTTATTAGAATTTAATTGGTGGATGGTGACTAGCAGTGGAATCGAGCATGCGCATTTCGTCCTATATGGGACTGCATCCAGATGACGAGTCCTAAATAGGACGAAATGCGTATCCTGGATACCACTGCTAGTCACCATCCACCAATTAAATGCTAATTACATACCCAGACATCGTCGAAGCATCTGCACAAGAAGCCGACATGTCAACCTGAGACTGAGCACATCGGTCGAATCAATCGACGGGAAAAATCTAAAAGTGAACTAAATTGTTCTTTATTTGTTGTTATACGATGTTCATGTGTTTGTATGTATTTAACCTTAAACAAAATATGATATAAGTAAGAATGTTTATAGAAGGGTATTCAGCTGAAGAGTCCTTGTGCCGAAATTTATAAATTCATTATTAACTGTTGTTTTTTTTCACATTTGTTGCTTGTTTTAAATTTACTACGAGGGAGAGAGAGATATGTTTTCAAAATATGCAATCATAAGAAAGCACCTTTTTTTTAATAAGTGAATATATTTCATACTGATGGGATAGTGTCGCCGGTGTGATTTACTTGTCATTCAAAGTAATTTCAGTTGTATTTGAAGATTTACATTTATCTTGTTAAGAACACTATTCATGTGGTATGTGCAGCTGGCCTATTTTAACAAGAATTATAGCATTTCATCAAAAAGTGTTTAAAATCGAGTCACAACACCAACAAGAAGCCATCATCAAAGACCACAAGAAAATTCATCCTACCATACATGAAAAATATCTCTGAAATAACAGCTAGAATATTGAAACCATTTGAAAGAGATATAGCACAAAAGCCAGCCAACACAATCACTTCATTCGATATTGTGCAAACCCAACAGATCCAACAGAAAAAGAAGATAAAATTAATACCATTTACAAAATAAATTGCATGTATGAACTGTAACAGACATTACACCGGCCAAAGTGGGCGTCGGAATCCAGGAACATAAATTAGTTGTGAAAAGACATGATATATATTCCTGTTTCATACCGATGCATGTGGATAATTATGAATATCATTTTGATTGCGATAATGTCAAAATGTTAAACAGAGGAAACACCAAAAGTTCAGTCAGAGAATTCCTAGAAGCCTAGCACTCAAACGAATATGCGATTTCATACATTTATTCCCCTTAATGAATTTGAACAAAGCAAGAACTACAGTTTTAGCAGAATAAAATAGTATCATCTGTTATTTCGTTGCCTTCTCGTCAGCTGCTTACAGGGCAAAGACATTATTCAATGTATCTACAAAAACAGTTTTAACATACTTGCACAGAGTTCATTTTAAACAAAAATCAATCGATCAATATACGCATACACTAATAATATATACATATATATATGCTATATTAAACACTATTCCGAACAACAATAATAATCATACACAATGAAAACCTTTCAGCATTTCGCATTCGGATGAAAATGCTAACCCATGAATCCCAACTTCTACCAATTCGTAATTTTAGCATGACCACTAGCCAATATCATCGTCGACTGTCTGTCCTCACACCCGACATGGTACACCCCGCTGGTCACGACCTCTCACTTGAACTCCATTCAACTTCACCCTGTAGTTGGTCACTAGCGAGCATCAGATTAATTTGCAAGACTTAGTTTGTTTGGGATTTGATCTGTTTTAAGTATGCCCACGGATTGATAGTTTTCCTTCAAGCGCGCTTACTTCTGATATTCACTAGCTGATAAATTCAGATGTCCATTAAATAAAAGAGGTGTCAGGTATGATTAATTATCAAAGACAATATAAACTTACAGATATGTAATTATTGTCCTTATCAACAGTATGATAAAATAATATTCCACCTCTATTAAGACTTCGGAAACCAAATTCAAATTGTAAAACATTTGTCCCGCCATCTCGTTCAATTTTTAAAAAGACAATATATTGTTGAACATCAGGAAATGTTAAAACAGTATTGTCTATCACACCACCTGGACATTCTGTTCCTATTACACCTGAGCCACCGATAGCCAATCCACTGATATTAAGTTTCTCTTCAGTAACAGGTGGACCCCACCATAGAAAAGAATTGCGTTTTGGATAGCCAAGAGCTTCTTCCCACGGGATTTCTAGGTTACCATCAGTTTGTGATTGAGTAATTTTCAACAATGATCGTTGAGCATCTCTTATTATGTGTACACCATTGAAAATAAACTCTTCTATGCAGCCAATAAAATTCTGACTGACGCTTACACCCCGACGATTTGAAAAGTCTGGCAAACCTCCAACTGATAGCTAGAATATTGTTTTAAAAATTAAAAAAAAAGAATTTAGCATCAAAGTACTCATTATGCGAATTACCACAAGCAAAAATTACCAAGGTAATAGCTGAGAAACTAGAGGGTTTAAGGCATTTCTTAACCTCTTAGTCATGGAACTACTTTATCTGTCCAGTCTAGAAAATGGTCAGTTGAACCTATAATCCGAAGCTTTCAAATATATAAAAGGTATGTAGATGTAACAGTGATTGTAACTTGAATAATATATTAGATGTATTTAATGGTTGCCATCCGGCGATAAAATTCACACTCGAAATGGAGGACGAGTCTAGTATTCATTTCCTCGATGTGAACTTATCATGGAGGACCGATGGAACTCTGAAGAGATCGATTTATCGTAAGCTGTCATGGAATGGTCAACTGGCAAATTTTGTACAGCTGGGTACCCATTGGTCGAAAACGAAACCTGGTCCGGTCGCTTGCCACACGCATTCAGCGCATATGTAGCCCTGATACTGTGGAAGATGAGTTATACATCTTGAGGAAAATCCTAATAGAAAGTGCATTTCCACCACGTTTTATAGACAAGAATATACATTCAAATCCAATAAAACATGACTTATCATCCGTACCCAAGTATACTAGTCGACCATTACTGTTCAATAGCCTGAAGGAAAAGATCTTGCTGTTGACCAACTTTGTGTGCGTTAATCAATTTACCTGCTCGTGTGGAGCTAGGTATATCGGTTGTTCGACTCGAGTTTTGTCCAAGAGGGTGCGAGAACACTATACTGCATGGTTACGAAAAGGTGGAAGTGGAGCAATAAGAAGTGCGATCATTGAACATCTGGTTGATAATGATCACCCTATCTCTATAGCCTCCGCCTTCAATGTCATCTACAAGGCAAAGAGTAATCTACCCAAATCCCTACGTACCCGACTCATCTGTATTGCTGAAGCTTTGGCTATCGAAACAGAAAAGCCAGATCTCTGTGTACAGAAAAAGTTCGTTCAATCCCTCCTTCTTTCATGGTCTTAATCCCTCTATGCTAAAGTATGGTAATCCCCAATCATATTTTAGCTCTACCAATCTTTCATTTTTCATTTTGTCTATTCAGTTTATAGTCTCTTCCCTATTATATCAATTGCTACTATTACTAATCTCACTTTGAACTGTCCCCGGTATTATTTCACTTGTTCCACTTGTCATTCTAAATCAATTCTCTTTACAACATTAAATTCTATGCTATCAAATTTCACACAAAATTAAGTAAAGCTTTTATTTTATTCGATTTGTCTACTAATCCTATAATTGCACACCATTTTGCAAGTTCTATCCATCCTATGAATTATTCAATATATGACATTAATTTGCTTTGCCACTTGACATTTAACTATGATTATAATCACAAACATTTTAGTTTTAATTACATTTCATATTATTATTATTATTTTATGCATTCACACCTATGTTTCAATTCCCTCACCGGATACAACTTCTTAAAAACCATATATATACGATTGTACAGCTTGATGATAAATTCGTTGAAAAGTGTCTCTTCGCTGAATCATTTGTTTTGATTTTCTATGTGTTACAATAGGAATTTTCCATGATTTAACCTATAAGCGCCAGAATCATCAGTATACGACGTCGTATTCTGCTAAAATAATACTGAATCTGCTTCAGGTTTGATCGCAGATTGATATCAGTTAGAGAACCATTGAAAACCAACAGGGAGTACTGGACAGCTGTTTGGTCCTAGCTCCTAAACTCTTCAACAGTAACCATCCACCAGGATTCGAACGTAGGACCTTTCGATTAAAAGGCAATCTCGCTGAACATTCAGCCGATGGAACCAGGTCCAGCCGATGAATTCCAACTTCTACCATTTCGTAATTTTAGCGTTAACATCAGCCACTGTCATCGGAGAGTATTTGTCCTACTGAGTGTAGTGATGAAAATCTAAAGTCATAAAATCCAAACCGCCTGAACATCTGTCGGTTAACAAATTAGATTGCGAAATAACTACGTATTTTAAATCTTACTGTGTTAAACTTACATTTCGATTCATGTTCATATGTAGGAATATAGCTGAGATGTTCCTCCACACTTTAATTCGATCAACAGATATGTTTAAATTCTTTTGTTCTCTAATAATTTTAACATCATGCCACTGATCATCATCTAAGAGACTGCCTGCATCCACTGTATTATCAGTGGGTTCACTGGATAAGGGAACTGTACCGAGATTAACACGAACTCGTAATCTTCCTCTGGAAAAAAACAGATGTGTAAAATATAAATTAGTGATGGAAGGCATCTCAAAAGAAATTGGACAAGTAAGTATCATCCACGTAGTGGTATATTTTAACGTCAATACGAAGATGTTAAACCACTTATTGCACTTCTTATAGAGCCACCGCTACCTGTGTGCAACCACGCTGGATAGTGTTCTTGAACCCTTTTAGACAGGATCCGCGTCGAACGGACAATCTACTTGGCCCCACAATTACTGGTGGACTAGTATACACACTTAAAAGTGATCAGGTGCAAGATCCTGTCCTTTGGGCTTCTGCAGACCAGTGGGCGACTGGAGAACCCTATTCCTAGAGTCTCTGAGAAGATAGTTCTTAAATCTTGGTGGATAACAGTTTTTCATGAAGATTTCTTCCAAAAAGTCGAATTCTCTTCCCTGAGCATCAGGGCTGTAAACGCGTCGGACGTGAGTAGCAAGAGATTTGACTAAGTTCCGTTTACGTCCAATCAGTACCTGGCTATAGGAACTAATCAGTTGACCGTTCCGTATGGATTTCCTATGGATGAACTTTCCTAAAGTATCGTCTGCTCTTCTTTTAAGTTTCGTATCACAAAAAAAAAAAGAATTTAAGATTCTTTTTCCATTTCACTAGTAAACTTTGATACTGGATGACAGTTGTTGACTACTTGTAACTATTGATTACGATCATGACTACTGATTGTTAGTTAGTAGTCAAATATAAAAAGTGTCAAATTAGCTTAAGACACTAGAAACTTCGTCTATGAATTGAAATTCTACTTGAAGATAGTGCAGAATGTCCAACAATATTTTTATAACTAAGGAGTGAAGTAAACGTTACTAAATCATATTTCATCTGAACACTGTAAACATATCACAAATCACAGGAAACTTAAAATGAAACAATTAGAAATCGATTAGTTACAGGATTTCATCATGAGCTGACATCAGTTAGAGAACCATTGGAAAACCTGGGAGTACTGGACAGCTGTTTCGTCCTAGTCTGGGACTCTTCATCAGTACGCACCCATACTGCGGGGTTCGAACCCAGGATCTTCCCGTTACAAGGCGAGCTCGTAGACCATTAAGCCACTGGGACCCGATTCAATGGCACATGAATTCTAACTTCTGCCAATTCACAACATAGCGCGACCGCTAGCCAATGTCTTCGGCGAGTATTCGTCCTCACACCCGACCCTACTGGTCACGAGAAATTGATTAGTTTAAAACTACACATGTGATTAACTTCAATCTGGCTAATTTTTATTTTATAATCATTGGGCGCACCCGTGTTTTAGTGGACAAAAATCTAAATATGTTTAATATATGCACCTTCGCTGTTATATTTATTATGACAGCACATGAGTGGTATGCATCGATTCTCAAGATTAGGAATAGGGAGTGAGATATTTGAATTCACTATCCACTTCAAGCTTCCACGAAGTGGAATCATCCCTAACAGAATGATTGCTGACACATTTCAGGTCATCAACGTGCATATGTACAAGACAGTAGTTCGCCAATGCGTATACTCTGGTTGTGAAACATGACCACTGAGAGAATAAGATAAAGAAATCTCAACTGATCAAATTAACAAAAACTGTTTATACGCATAGTAACAAATGACACTCCTAGTCGAGCGATATTGTTTGTTTTGGCGTCAGTTTGCAAAAGTAGTCACAGTAAGAAACCATGAATTTTCTGACTCATGTTAAAAGGTACAGATTATCTGACTTGGATGCTGAAGACAAAAAGAGAAAATTATTACGGAGTTTCACTCAATAAGGTGGAGGAAAATCACCCACAATAACGTTGATGTGTTGCCCCTAAAATCGTGAATAATTTCACTTTTCGCATAAAACTATATACTACTGACTGATTGACATGAGTAGTTAGTTGTATACCACTCATATCAACCATTAGTGTCTGCTAGACAGATTAAGGCCATCTAAACAACGGACGGTAGATTTTATCGTTTGCAGCCGAGCTGACCGGCGGTGTACGCGTCCAAGTAGCTAACCAGAAATCAAGTGGTTTGAAATGACTCATCTCTCTGAGATGAATAGAACCGGGTAGACTTCTGATGAGCTTGGTTCCAAGGGAGAGAAATAGCCATCTGTCGTTTAAATCACCACTACTGGTTGACATGAGTGGTATAAAACTAATCGTCATCTCAATCAATCAGTAGTATGTAACCTTCATGCAAATATTCCTGCTTTCTTGGTTACTATTCATGATATCAAGCAGATCACATATACTGTACTCTGAAGAGTTTTGTTTTCCACAGGAAATTACAGTGAAAATTTCACTCCTTGAACTGTGTACAATGCAAATCGCCAATTAAGTTGCAGATTGTGAATTTCCATCTTCGTCTAATAATTGTCTTCCTTACACTTATGTTTGTCCGCCGTAGTGCTGCTTTACTTCTGTTCTCTTGTTTATTGGAAAGACAAGGCAGACATTCATCATTCTGAAATCAGTTTAGAAGTTTACTGCAGTCAGAATAAAAAACAAAATTTGGATTTTCAATAACACTATCAAGTCAGTCAGTTCTTGGATGAAAAAAAAAAACACTTTCAACCACCCTGCTGCAGACTTTTATCGACAGCTCACTTCGCTAGCTCCATACTGAAGACGAGATGGCCAGATAGGACTAATTAACAACGAGGAACTTTGATAACATACCCATCAAGATTCTGTTGTTCAACAAATATCCCGAAGAGACTGGAGATGGATCAAACACACGGTGACGAGACCGATGAGTGACATCCCACCCCAAGCTATAGATCGAGTGGAACCTGAGTGGGGAACAACAAGTTGGGCGTTCGTGGATGATATGAAGGAGGCCGTATGAGGAGGAGATGACAGCTTATGAGCGGTGGTAGGGAGAGCCGAAAAGAAGTGCAGAAAACAGAACAAGGTGGAGGTGTGATGTTCCACCTGGAAACCAAATGGAATAATAATAATAATAATCTTGTTTCGTAATTCACAGTAACTTAAATACCATAATAATCAGAAAAGCTACTACACGCAAAAAGGTTACCAACCTATAAAGCTCTACACAAAAATAGTCACCCTGACTTGAATCCCCGTACAATATCAGACCATTCACTTCTCTTGTACGAAATCTAAAGCTTATTTCATCCATAACAGTTTGAGTTGCACGTCCTGGAAGATCTAAGCGTAGGTCAATCCAACTTGTACCATCTAAATAAGCAACAAATGGACCTATTAAAAAAAGAAAAGTAACAAATCTGTATTAATCTAACAGCCTGTTACACACTCACGATAATCACAGCCGAATAACTCCATTCTCAGTGAAATTAAATCATGCCATCTTTGTGGATTTAAGCGTATAAAACGCGCAACAATTGGATAGGAGAAATTATTGAATTTTACAGTATTGTCATCAACATTTCCATCGAACAGCTAAAAAAAAGTGAATAATCACAAATAAATAGTATTTTTTTTTTGTATTATTGAAAAAAAAAGAATTACCAATGGTTGACCCATATCATCTTTTATCACAGACCAATGAACTGGTTCATCTGAATCCGTATAATGAATATAATAGTCTTGTACCCATTGCCTTGCACCTTGTCTGCCTTGAGTAGCTACACTCTGTATGACTTTACGTTTTAATAAATCAATTTGTATCCATTGTTTATCATCTTGATCCAAGGCAACCCATGCACCTGCACCTTCTAATAAATTTACAAAGTAATGATTATTATGGATGAACTAGCTGAAATAATGTGAATTACGTAATTCTTGATCGAATAAATACGCTAAAATTTTATGAAAACAAAAAAAAAAGTTGATTAGAAATAATTATAAGAAATGGTTACCATCCGATATATGCAGTCTTCCATAATTTGGTGTTGTTTGATCTGAGAATGAAGATGATGCTGTAATTTGATCATCAATAATCCCATTATATCGATCTGTCATTCCAAGTGGTATATATGGAAAGTAGTCACATTCTTCTGCAAAAGATGAAAATTATTTAAAAATTTAAAAAAAAAAACATTATTGGATATATTTTCAAAAGAATAGACACGGAACAAAGAGTACTCTTTTCGATAACCTCTTCTTCATCAGGCTCTACAATTATATATACATTATAAGGAATGAATGAATTAGTCTTATGAACGACATTAATGTTTAAATAACATCAAATCAATAATATTGATAGATTACAGCTGAACAGCATCAACATAAAATAAGCTGAATGTCAGAAGAATTAGGAAAGGTAATAGTACAGATTCATGAGTTTATAGTCTCTACTGAGGGCCAGGGCAGTAGTAGGGGCTGGACTTGTTTCTTTTGAACACAGAGCACTGGTTGTTTGAGGCGAATTGCAATAGCCTCTGCTGTTTGGAGGCTATATATATATATGTATATATATATATATATATTAAAAAAAGGCCTCTTAAGTAACTAACAGAAGAAAAAATTGAGCTTTTAGTCTAAAATAGAATTTGTTGCCAGCTAACATCAGGTAACTCAGAAATACTAAATTAATACCACTCTTAGATATACAACCATAATTTAAAACAAGTTACTTGGCTAGGTGGACGCAGAAATTCACAATTTGTAATTTACACAACAACAATAGACAAAAATCAGCATAAATAGGAGAAATCTAAGAGAAGCAACATCCTTTAATTACCTACCTACCTGGTGAGTATCGTTTCAACTACAGGTGGACGGAACTGATGAGGAAATCAAAGCGAGGATCGGGAAAGTAAAGCAAGCTTTCACCCTTTGGATACCATGTATGGTTCGCTAGTTATCTAGGCGGTCCTAAGCCTGGGTAAAGAAGGAAAGTTGGGTATGGGACTAGTGACTGCACTCCGCAAAATCAACCCAGTCTCTACAGAAACCTCAAAGTACAATAAAAATTTAAGAAAACAAACTTGATTTTCGCTAGAATTGGAGAGACGCAATGATACCGGCCAGCGGGCAGCGAGGATACAGGCATAAAATGGACTTCGCCAATGATATATGCCTGATTTCCCACAAACTAGAAGATATGCAAGTGAAAAACAGCAAGTTGGCAGAAGAAGCATCAAAGATAGGACTTCAGGTGAACATAGACAAAACAGAGGTGATGAAGATTTCTGGCCATCAGCAACAGCGAAAACAACAGAGAACGATCAGCATAAATGGGAGAAATCTGAAAGAAGCAACCTTCCCTACCTACCGACCTGGAAGGCATTGTTTCAACTACAGGCGGAACCAACGAGGATATCATAGCGAGGATTGAGAAAGCAAGACAAGCTCTCATTTCTCTCAAGTTTGTGTAGAGGTCAACAGGACTACTCAGCATGAAATACAAGATCCGGATTTTCAACTCCAATGTGAAGTCAGTGCTACTTACTATATGCATCAGAGACTTGGCGCCGCATCACGAAGGCCAATTCGAACAAACTATAGACCTTCATCAACAGCTGTCTTCGGTCAACACTACTCAAGATCAGATGGCTGGCCAGAATAGATCAGTAACAGGGATCTCTGGCAATGGACGAACCGATTGTGCAACAAATATGCAGGAAGAAATGGAGGTGGATTGGCCATACTCTGAGAAAACAAACCATCAAGTGACATCACACGCCAGGCCATCACTGGAGCAGAACCCGAATGGGAAGCGGAGAGTTGGCTGTCAGTGCGAGAGTAACATGGAGGAGGTGATGTGAAGAGGATATGAAAGAATGTGGACAGACATGGAGCCGGAAGAAAAGGTTGTAAGAGAGCCGAACGCAATGTAGACATGCGTCTGAAGTCCTATGTTCCTCTAGGAACTAAAGGAAGCAATAATAATAATAAATTTAAACAGTTCAAGGGGTGAAATTTTCACCATAGTTTCCCTTGGAAACCAAAATTCTTCAGAGTACAGTATATATGATCTGCTTGATATCATGAATAGTAATCAAAAAATCAAGCATATTTATTGAGATGACTGATTGTATACCACTCATATCAACCAGTTCTTCCAAGTAACTAACCGGAAATCAAATGGTTTGAACGAATTTGGCTCTCTAATCTGAGTCCAACTGGATACACTGCTGATGAACTCGACTGAAAGCGAACTAAACGCCACCCCCCCCCCGGTATTATTTAGATCAAGTCGATATGGCTAGCAAGCAATACTGGCTGATGTGAGTAGTACACAGCTTATCATATCAGTCAATCAATAGCACTTAGCTTTATACAAAGAGAAGACTTCTTTCATATTTCCATATACACAATCACCAAGTGTGTTATAAAGACTCTGGCGGAACAGTTTAGTTCATGCATATTCATTGGCAACTTCTAAATTAAACTTGCTAACAAAGTGGCACATAAAATTGACTGATAGACAACACTAGTAGTTTGCTATGTAATATTGTGTATGCTTATGTGATGTTACAGGCTGCAGTAAAACAGTGTTTAAGGCATAAAGTCTGAAGTAGGACAAACTTTACCAACCACAGATGACAGACTAAAACTTCTTACAATAACTTCAGTCTGGTTATTACAGACTGGTGTCATGAAGAGAAATTGCATCATCTGTATAATATTCAGCAAATTGGAGGCTACATTTACTTCATATTTTAAAGTCCTTTGTAGTAATAAACAACTTCATGAGTTCAACGGCATACAGCTGTATCAATATATAACAGTTATAGCGAACTCGTTAAGCTAAAGTCAGATACTCTCTGCACTAAGCATGCTGTCATATAACCTCCAGTTTGATCATCAGCTACCCCTACCTAAGTAAGCACGTATTTTAATCTGCCTACATCGACCACAAAATATACATTGCATTTCAGATGACTGAAGAGTTGTTCTTACTTTCCTTTTTCCGATTGTTTCTGGTTCCATATTAAATAACTGCGGTTCTGTTAGAGGAGAGATAAGGGAATGGCATCGTTTTTACATTGTGAAGCATTCGGGGCTTTGTTGTACTGATCATATCAAGAGCTAATATTGGTTCACTTTGATAGGGTAATCCAATTAAAGGAGCGTCTTTTTACCCTTTTTTGTGTCACTGTGTTTCTTCATCCTTCCTTCAGTTTCGTAACAGATATATTTTATCTAGTTAATAGTATTATGACTAGCAAAATTATAATGGATGAAAGGACTGTCATTTTTCGATTGGCAGTGATATGCAGTGTATTGCCTTCAACTAGTGGTTTCATATGGTTTGTATCAGCCTATCACTGCCCAAGAAGTAGAGGAAACCGTCATCTCCGTGACTGTGCAGCTTCTGTGGTGAGTCAGTCGAGATCCTAATTTGAGAGACAGTTGGACTTCTAATATCCAAGAAGTTTACACTAAAACAGATGAAGACAACAAGGTTGGATCTAAGGACGTTGCTACTGATAAGAATAGCAAAGTAACCAGTAGACAGACTCTAAGGAAACCTCGAAGACTGAAGAGAGTATCTAGTCTCAGTACCGTAAGACCGGTCGTCTAGATTAATGTGAAGCAACTCAGTGCGTCTAATGAGTATGTGGCCCGCATATGTAACAATACCATAGTGGATAAATCTAACCCCACATGGAGAGCTACAAGTGGGAAGAAGTCGAGCGAATTTTAAAAAATAACACGTCACGTAAAATTAAATCAAGATCTTCGGATATCATATATGGCCTCATTACTTGGAATATAAAAGAATCTGCGGATTGCGATCCACTTGCAAGTCATGCACATGACGTCAGGGCTGTAGGAGCATTATTCCCTGAAATACCCTCAGAAATAACGGACGAAGCCCATATAACGAAGGTGAGCTGAATCTGAAAACGTAATATAATGAGTGAAGACATTTGCTGAAGACTGCTGTTGCAGAACACAATCAACAGGAGAGATGCCATGGGCGAATGAAGGGCGTATTGCTAAGTACAGTCAAACGATAGAGCATATTTGTTGGAATAGAAACTGGTTAGAAAGAAGTGCAGCAACTCGAAATGCTGTATTTTGTACAAAGTCCCACGTTTATAATTCAGTTCACTTCAAGACTACCGTTAATAAGCCAGACGAACACACAAGTTTTTTGTTTGCTATACAAACACACGTACTCTTCTTGGGAAGCTTCCCGAATTAGGAGAGTTTTCAGAAGGACTGGACCTTGATGTAATGGCTATTACTGAAATATGTTTACTGGCGGAGTGAAACTTAATTTACTCACATATGGATATGCCTATTTCCAACCGGAAACATTGATAAACTGTAAGGAAGGTGGTGCACATGTGTACATTCGGAAAAACTTAGGAACTAAATGAACTGTGTTGGAAGCGTATAGAAGTAGCGAATTGTAAAAATTAACTTGAACAGGGGCACTGTGACAATCAAAGTCATGTCCAGCCACGCTGACGACTTTACCTTAAACCACCTGAATGTTTAGATCAGTGGAAAAAGATGTCTGATATTAGGTGACTTTAATGCCCATACGTTGACTGAGAGGAGCTAACATCGACTATACGATAGGACTGTTTCAAGAATAATAATAATAATTTACTTTATTCCAGAAACAGTACTAGTGGTACAGTGTGGAATTTTCAGCACATATCAGCTTAAATCAACGCTGAGAGTGTAATCATACACCATGTACATGTACAAACACGATATGACAATGAGCATGACCCTTTGGTTATGAACTCGGCACTTGCACATCAAATACCAGATGTAAGCGACACCAGGTGCATTCCACTGTGAGGTAGCTGTGACTGTGAAGTCACTGCTCTTCCATTTAGACCTTATGACTTCACTGATAGGTCAGTACCTCTTTGTCAAAACATTTGGTGAAAAGATATTCCCACCATAGAATAAATTTATTTGATAGAAGGATACAGTGATACAATATTATTTACTTATGATATTTCAAGCACAGTTTATTGTTCATAATCATATCATGGCATTCACATAGCTTCCCAAATTCGTTTATATAACTACAGTAAATATACATA